GTTTAATTGTATTTTATTTAAAACTGTTTATACTATTTGTTGTTTATTTAACCAGCGAATTTATGTTCAATTTGTTTCCATATTTATCTTGAACCTATCCATATATACCAATTTAATATAATAAAATTATTTAGAGAAATAAGGGTACTTGGATCTTTTTATTGAGAAAAAGGAAAAATAATACTCCCTCTCTTATTTTCATTTAGAGAAAATTTTATTTTTGAGTGTATTTTTTATATAGTGAAAGTTATTCTAAATAGTAATTTTGGAATGCAAGCCAAGTTAAAAGACAAGAAAACTTTTGGAATATATGTGTTTTTTTAAAATTGAAGCTCAACGATCAAAGAAAGTGGAAAATACAAATATTCTGAGCATTTAATGAACGCATGTTTCAATGGACAACTTATCAATTCACTTTTTTCATTTTGTTTTACAATAACAGCGGTCGTTTTTATAAATTTGGCCATATAAATATAGAGTTAGCTCTTATTTGTATATTTGATGAATATATGTCCACTTCTATCATTATAAATTTGGCCACAACCATTGACATCAGAAACGTATATATGTTATGCTCAGATAAGTTTTGAAAACGGTCACGTTTTGTTTTTAAAGGTACAGGTGTTTTGATTATTAAAAAAGGGGGAAATCAGAGTTTTTGTTAGAGACCGTTATCTTAAAAGTCATGGCCATTTCTGAATATGGTATGACCGATTTAGATGTTATGCATAAGTGAATAGATTTTACTTGCAGCAGATCATTAACTTTGATTTCATTTATATGTAGCTAAGGTTTAGAAGCGGAGGAGTCTGATTGTAAACTCAAATAATTTGGCTTCAAATTCTATTTTATTTTGGTCGCAATGTATTGCATTTAGGCACTACTTTCTAAATTTCATTTAAATTTGGAGAAACCAAATTTTGCTTTTAATTTTGAATTTAAATTGAAAAATTATTTAAATTTAAATAAGTTAAAGCCAAAATTTAAGTTTTTCCTCCTTTATCTTAGCCGAAAATTTTAGAAATCTATGGCCTTCAATGAATAAGTTAAAAAATTCAGATTTTAATTTGTCTTCAAAATTTTTTTCGTTTTTATGCACGTATTATGTAAAACGTCCACATTCTAATAAAGTCAGATAGAGTTAATAAAGAAAGTTGAAAGTGATGTCCAAATGATGCAAACAAGTAATAAATGCATTTCTTGAGACTACCTTTTGTGTCTGTTATTGTGCCCATAATTAATGATGAAATAAAGTGCATTTTAGGAAGAAAGCTTAATTTAACTAACTTTCTTAATACTCCAAGAGCTTTTATGTTTTCTCTAAATAAAAAGAACGGAAATACTCCCTCCATCCCATTTTGTTTGTTTGTTATTTCTTTTTTGGATGTCCCAAAATGTCTGCAAGATTTTAAAATTTAGACATGTAAATAATTATTTTTATCATAATAATATTTATAATCATTCGTTAAATGAGAGACTTTTATTAATATATTTAATACGTTAAGGGTAAAAAGAATAAATTTGTAACATCCCTTCCCGGTCCACCCGTTAACTCAAATGAACCGAGCTGAGACGCTACAATCTGGTTGAACCTATGTCCTTTCATGCTAATTAACCTCAAATGAACCGAGCTGAAGACGCTACAATCTGGTTGAATAGAGACGCTACAATCTGGTTGACTCTATGTCCTGTCATGCTGATATCATAATGTATGCTGAATAGTATATCATGCTGATGTTGTTTATATTAATACTGTGCTTAAGATTTACAAGGCATGATACTAGTGTCCAAATTGAAATGGGCCCAATTGTGTGCCCTGTACATGCCATGATAAGGATAAACAAAACCAAAATATCAAAATGAGTAACTACCCTGAAGACCGAGTCTTCCAAAGATGAACTGCAGCAGTTGTAAGCTGACTCTCTACGGTCCAGTCCCGAAACCTACGAGTTAAACAAGTAACTCGCTAGTTAAAACAGGTAACTCGCTGAGCAAATAAAGCTCAGTGGATATCTCAACTTAATAAGAATTAAATAAATAAGCATGTAAGCACACATATCATTATACGTTCATAGTCTTACCTACTGTTCATTAGACTGTATGAATTATGGAATTTTTATTAACCATCGTATAATTTATAAATAACACAATTTCATAACTGTATGGCTCTATAAGGTTACAGTGAAATCGAAGTGATAAGAACGACTATATGAAACTGGATGAATACTGTATAGCTGGGCTGCTATGACCTATACTTCCGATAAATTTCCAAAATGGCCTCTGTTCCGGCCGAACTGTATAAATCATATCCACTCAACAGCCTATAGCTGGAGTACCAAACTGTATGGGGCGCAGATCTGCTATCCTATGTCATGACATAGTCTTATCTACGTGGTTTCTGGCTAACCTTAATGGAGCATATTATGTGTATTGTGATAATACAAGAATTATTTAGAAAATATCTAATGAGGAATAACGCATACCAGTGATAACGTATAAAGTAACTTGCATGGAAATACTCTAGCTATTGCACCCGCGATGCAATTCTTACTAATATTTATGTAACTAAATTTTACCATTCAGATTAGGGAAATTCTTAGTTTGAATTTAAGTTCACTTAGAAGGTAAAATGCAGTAATAATTTTAGGGTGAATGAATCTACATATGCATTCCAATCCAACATCATTTCTAATGTGTTCTTGAAATCTGCCAGACAGCCTGTACATGTTTCACAAATCCTAGCATAACTCTTTCTGTATACGTCCAATTTAGATTATTCTAAATTCTATGGTTAGCTAACATCTTAAGGTACAAAGTTTTCTTCTATCACATCTCTTAATTAGGTTGGCAAGGTAGTCACATATTGAGCTCAAGTAGCAACTTTCAGTCTGCCCTGCTGTTGGTTTCCAGCCTGCCCAGTTTATATTATTTTGGTCATATCTCTCAATTTATAACTCCAATTTAGGTGATTCTACATTATATGGTTAGCTAACACATTAGGCTACAAATTTGTCTTCTTCTACCACATCTCTGTAATTAACATTGGTAAGGTAGTCAAAACCCTTGAGCTCAAGTAGCAACTGTCAGTACTGCCCTGCTTTGGGAGTTTTCCCAAGGCCGCACAGGTTATACTATTTGGTCATATCTCTCCATTTATAACTCCAATTTAAGGTGATTCAAAACTCCATGGGACAAAAGCTCAAACATAGAGGAACAAAATAACTTTTCTATACCACTGTCCTAATTCCATCGTTTAAATTAGAGTAAAATCAGGGTGAAATGTTACTAAAAGTCAGTGACCCCAACAAACCCTGGTCCGCAAATTCAAATGTCTATTCAATTCATATCAACATTCAATTCATCCCATGCTTTATCACCATTTACAGACCTCTAATTCAACATTCAGCAACATATCTTTGCATTATCCACACACTACAGAAGTGTTCATGAAAGAAAATGTGAAAAACTAAAAGAGATATCAAACCTTCAACCAAAAGAGCTTTAAATCTTCTTCTTAGCTTCCTTTTCCTCCAACTTTGAGCTCCCCTCTCCTTTACATCATAACTCTTATAAATCATCTAAAATATCACAAAAGTATGAAATTTAAGAAAGGCTACTTACTTGGATAGAGTTCTAGGTTGAATTTAGTATTTAAATCACATGAAAAGTGATGGAGAAAGGAAGGAGATGAAGACTTAGTGAGAAGAAGATTTTGGGTCCAGATTTGGTTAGAGAAACAAAAGAGAAAGTGGAAATCATCAGAAAACGGCTGAAGGAAGCAAGTGATCGACAGAAGTCTCGTGTAGTCCAAATTTATCTTTGATTGTGTGTTAAAAATTACCAAATAGTACCTATATTTTCCATATATTACATTTTAATAACTAAACTTTATATTTTAGTGCAAGTAAGTCCTACTACTTATACTTTGATCTTTTTGTTTCATTCAAGTAAGTCCACTTCTTTTACTTATTTACGTTACATCCCATTCTACCCCACTCTGGATTTAAATGGCTCGATACTTTGATCTTTTTGTTTCATTCAAGTAAGTCCACTTCTTTTACTTATTTATGGTACATCCCATTTTACCCCACTCTGGCGTTAACTGGTTTCTAGTTTTACCCGACTCGACTCATGTATATGCAACGATTCGATTCAGTAGGATGTTACAAAAATAATTTTTGTTGACTAAATTTTTAATATGCGTGGTCTATCAAACCATGGGGATACCATTTTGTTTGTTTATTATTCCTTTTTTGGATGTCCCAAAATGTCTGCAAGATTTTAAAATTTAGACATGTAAACAATTATTTTTATCATAATAACATTTATAATCATTCGTTAAATGAGAGACTTTTATTAATATCTTTAATGCGTTAAGGGCAAAAAGAATAAAATAGTTTTTGTTGACTAAATTCTTAATATGCGTGGTCTGTCAAACCATGCAAACAAAATGGGAATACCTATAAATTGGGATAGTATGAGTGGGTCTAGGTTTAGACAAATATTTTCTAAAATTACATAAATAATATCAAGCAGTAGTCTAGTTGGTCTTTTCATTTATGCGAGGAGCAGGAGGGCTATAGTTCTCTTAGTCCTCTGGACTATAGTTGTTTTCACAAATTTAGTGAGTAATATTATTTTAGCACCTCCAATGAATTAAAAAGAATTTAATTAATTTAGAATGTAAATTATATTGTTAAAAAAAGGAAAAACTTAATATTATAAACTCAACCCAATTTAATAGGTAAAAAAAAAAAACTATTATTATAAGTTTCCTTAACAGGTGTAAATTAATTATCCATTCCTATTAGAAATCACATATTACCTATATTACAGTAAAAGCGTTGGTATCCAATCGTTTGTTACTATGTTAGGTCGGCTATTCTGGAACTGAATATTTTTTAATATAAAAAACATTTTTTTTTTCGTCGATGTCTAATTGTCCATCATTGGTTAAATTACTTATTACAAAATCTGTCTACAACACTCCGTAACGCCCTTTAAAACTCTCAAGACCGCCATACACAAAAAACAGAGAGACTTTCGTACACTGAACATGGTAGCCACCGGAGCATATTTTCTCGCAGCCGGATTTCCCCCGGGGATGGTTCGTTCTTGCGTAACGCCATCATCTGGTAAAATGAAATCGAATCCGGTTCCAAAGCAAACTCGGAGATTTGCAGTTCCTACAGAGCAAATGTCAACCGGAACAGCAAATACAACGGCGACGACAACGAGTTTCACAGAGAATGCTAGGCTGGAGATGGAACGTTTAGAAGAAGAAAGAGAGAGAATAACAAAGAAGCAAAAACCATTGATTTGGGAGTTAGCGGAAGCGGAAATGAAGAGTAGAAAGAGCTTGAAGGATTATTTTGAGGAGTCAAAGGATTTGATCAGATCAGAGGGTGGTCCACCACGGTGGTTGTCTCCTTTGGAGTGTGGATCGCGCTTGGACAAGTCTCCTCTCCTCCTCTATTTACCCGGCAAGTCGTTTTATTCATCTTTCGTCTTTCTTCCTCCTTTTTTCACGTTTGGAATTTAGATTTCGTACAGGACAGGAGAAAAAGTAGGTTATCAGAATCAATAATGGAAAGTCTAACGATTCTATTCTTAGGTTATTAGTGTATCTACCATTTATAGAGTAAGCCAATAATATACAACTTGGTTTAATAATCGAAGCCCACTAAATTTCACCATGAGCAGAGGGCTTGTAACATAATAGACGCTCGATCTGAAAGTATTAGTTTTCTTCTTGGAGAATTTACAAATTAAATGTTAACAGTGCAACATACTACACACCTATTTCGTAGATTGATTATTTGAGACCCAATAGTATGAATAATAAAACTTCAAAGAGATTGCAATGGTTCGATGGACTTGCCATGGAATTTTATTAACACTGAAAAAAAAATGAAAAAATATAAATTTGATTCATAGATAGAGAGTAATTCGGTCTAGACAAACAAGTTTTCTCCTCGCTTCTGTAATGTTTTTGAGATTAACGGTGGTTGATGAACTAGATGGGTTATATTAACTGACCCATTTGCAGATATGTCACATATTCAGTGGCTTAGACTATAATGATGTGGTAAACTACTGACATAGTAATTTTTGGGTCTTTTCACTGGCTTTTCGGTTAAGCGGGGATTTTTTTTTTTTTTTTTTTTTTTACTGCTTTTCGTTAAGCGGGGAATTTTTTTTTTTTTTTTTTTTTTTTTATCCTTTTTTCTTTGGTGGGCGCTAGAAATAATTTTTTTTAATATGGTCTTTAGTCCTTAAAGTTGCTTATAATTGTAATTTCATCTCTTTTATTCATTAAACCTAAGCGGTCCTCCGCGCATTTTGCCTTGGTGGTAATTTGGAGGTAAGAAAATGAAGAAAATGAAGGAAGAGGAAGAAGATGAAAATGGCGTTGGAGAAGGAGAAGAGAAGAAAGAAAAAGTGACTAAAAGTCAAATTTAAGTTGACAAAAGTCAAATTTTACTTCTTCATTTAATGCCAAATGTGTGGCTAAGATCAAGTCCTAAGTAATCTCATCCAATGTGTAACAGCCCAGCCCTAGTGTGATATTGTCCGCTTTGGGTGCCAAACCTGGCCTGAACCCTCACGGTTTTATTTTTGGGCTAGGGAAACCTCTGCTCTGCCAGCCCAAAATGCGTCACACTAGTTCAAGGTTGCCACCCTTTATGTATAGGACTTCCACCTTATGCGTAGCCGATGTGGGAACCATAATGTTCTTTTTTCAATGGGCAATAAATTGAAGAAGTCAAAATAAAGAATTAAGTTAAGCTTTTAACAATAAAATAGAAATTTAAAAATTTTAAAAGTTCCCAATCAGCAAAAAATAAAATTTAAAAGTTAAAACCACTAATTTCACATCAACCCAATTTTTGAATTTTAAATTAAAATAAGAAAAATCATATAGGTAGCCTTTTTCATGATAAATTCAGTAGCTTTTTTCATGATAAATTTGATAAAGTCATACAAACAATAAATTGAATTTTAAAAATCTCAAATATTATCGACTTGAAAATATTCAACTTATCATAAGAAAAAAAAAATTTGTGTCTTTATAATTTACTAAAAAAATTGAAAATCAAAAGGGAAAGAAAAAAAGAAGAATACTACTCATTATCTTATCTTATTATTTTTTAAACTGTACGAGACTATTCTCGAACGTTGATAGGTTACTTATCATAAAAAAAAAAAAAACTAAAATTTATACCTAATAATTTACTCAAATATTAAAAATCATTCCCAAACAAATAAAAAATAATGTGTATTTTTGAAACACATAAAAAAACTAAAATTTATACCTAATAATTTACTCAAATATTAAAAATCATTCCCAAACAAATAAAAAATAATGTGTATTTTTGAAACACATGATTTTTTAATATTTTTCAAATTATTAAAGTTTTAAACATATTATATTTGATTTGAAGTTTAGACTACATAAAAATAAAAATTTTATATTTGTAAATTATGAAAATTTAACATTTAAACATTGTATTATTTTTCTATCACATATTTAATTTCTACAAAAAAAAAAAACAAATAGCATATTTGATTTGAATTTAAAAACTAATAAAAATATGAAAATATATAATTAAAACTAATAGCATATGTAAATAATGAAAATCTAAAAAATACAAATGAAATATTTAAATTTTTTATATTGCCATAATTAAATGAATTTAAAATTCATAAAAATGAAAAGACAATAAATTATTGAAAAGTCAATGATGGAAAAGAAAAAGTGGATAAAAAAAGAGAAATGCTCAAAAAATTCATAAAAAAAGAGAAATCATAATACTCAAATATTAGGGGTTTCACTTCCTTAAAAAAGTGTCACGTCAACATATAGAAAAAATACAATCTTTTTCCTTTATATATATATATAATGATATATTGATTAGTTGTTCAAGTTTAACCCTGTTAAATTATTTAGCTCACTATCAAAATGTATTATTTTTAATTTCTTGGCATTAAAGAAGGAATTAGATAGTAATTCAATAACAAATGTGAAAGAATAAATGGTAAGCTATAAGGTACTTAACCTTTAAAATAAGATTTTTTATGAAAATACTAAATAGTTTAACATGTTAAATCTCATGGGTACCACAAAAGAGAGACATAATTTTATTTTCTTTTTAGTATTAAGAATACGTATATATCTTTATTTTCATTTCCTTTTCACGATAAACCGAATACAAAAGTACCTTTTCCAGGCGTTCCTGAAGTAAAAGAACAAAAAAAGCCACTCAAAAGGCACACTACAAACTAATTATTTGCATGCATGTAGACAGAAAATTTATTATTTTATTTTTGTATTTTGTCAAAATACATGATTTTCTTTTGTATTCTTAGGAGTACATAGTTGTCTCTATTTTTTGTCTCCATTATACTTTGATCTCTTTCTGTTAATATTTTGTACATACAGGAACAAATTAGTTAAATTTATAGGGTCAAAATGGTCAATAAATACATGAATATATTAATTAATTTTAACAAAATACAATGAAAAAATAGTACTTTATTAATGAAAAAGTATGAAAAATTAACAGAACGATATAAAATGTCAAAAAATAAGAACAAAATTATGTTTTTTTTTTTTTAAAATGTACATTACTTTAAATACAAGAATAAAACGGTAATTTCACCTTGCAATTATTGTTTTGTGGGTTTGGCTGCGACAAGGGACAAAAGTGGGCTAACTGGCTTTAAAGTGCGCTTATATTATAATGGCCGAAAGGTCTCATATCACTATCTCCTGCATGGTAATTGATTCTCTTCTTTAAGGAAATCATAAGTTAATGACCTTAAACCATTTAATTTTTTGCTTGTTTAATTGTTTGTTGATGACTCTAATTTTGCAGGGATTGATGGGGTTGGGCTAGGCCTTATTAGACAACATCATAGTCTTGGAAAGTAAATACCCTCTCATCATTCGCTTCGTGTACTGTCCCCATGAATGATAATAATATTAATTAATCTGATTTAAGATCAACCTTAAACCAATTTATTTGCAAAATAAATAAATTAAAGGAGACTAATTGTCTAATATTAGTGCCTGATATATGATTTTATTTTCATCATTAGGCTTTTCGACATATGGTGCTTGCATATTCCAGTAAAGGATAGAACACCTTTTACAGGTCCTTTACCACATTTCTTTTACCTTGTCAAAAATATTCCCTTTCTTTAAATTCACAGTAAACTGTAATCTTGTGTTTAATTTGTCCCTCAAATTCCTCTCAGACTTGGTGAAGCTGGTTGAACATACAGTTAAATCAGAACATCAACGTTCACCTGACAGACCAATATATCTTGTTGGGGAATCTCTGGGAGCATGCCTTGGACTTGCTGTTGCAGCTCTTAACCCTGACATTGATCTTGTGCTTATTTTGGCTAATCCAGGTGACAAATTGCTTCCTTCTTAACCATTGATGGGACCTTTAAATATTTTAAGAAATTCAGCAATATAAGCACATTAACATGTATTGATTTGCGAAGCAACCGACAGTTCATTTTTCATAATCCAAAGAGCTACACCTACATTTATTGGTGATTCTTTTTTTGGACAAAGGGGAAATGCTTAGGTTCATTCAGCATCAACATAAGCACTTAGCTTGTGTTTATACATTACACTTTATTTACTTGATTTTGTTATTCTTTGTCAGGAACATCTTTTCAGAAGTCGCAGCTGGCACCTCTTGTACCTTTATTGGCAGTCATACCCAATGAACTGGAGCTTCGCTTTCCTTATATGCAGAGCTTGATGACAGGTTTTAATTTTCTGTCATCACAGTTGTTATTTGTTTTGGCTTTGCTATTTTGTTGAGATATAGATTTGATTGTCTACCGCTTCTAGGCAATTAGTTCTGTTAACCTTTTGGATTGTGATGGATCTTTTCATATCTTACTTGCATCATTTAGTGAGCAATAGCGAGTTCAAGCTTAATAACAATTAAGAAATAAGTTAATTTTGGTTTTTGCTATTTCAGATTGGGAGACCAAACATGTGAATCAATGATTAGAGAGGCCTAAGGTTGAATAATTTGATTTCTGCAACTAAACAATTGTCTTTGCATCTCTAACGTGCCCCTCATGCAAAAGCATATTGGGTTTAAAACATGAAAAGAGCCAACTACTCTCTATTTTTTATTTTGAAATTGACTTGATAATATGGGACCTCTGCAGATGCCCATAATCTGTTTCTTTTTAAAAAAATTAGAGAAACATCAAATAATATTGGAAAACTACTTGAGCTAAAAGTTTAGGCTTGATAGTTTGGATCCAAAAATGGTTTTGCATCTCTAACAACGTTAAAGTGTCAGATAAACTTTAACCTTTTACGATAGAATCTTGAGCATGCTTCTGGACTTTCAGGCTGCTAGTCTTGGGGATGTAATAAAGATTATACATTTGGATAAACATCCATTGTCTACCCATGGAAATTGCTACTTGGAAGTTGGAACTCTTTCTAGGCCAGAATAAATCTCATCTTTCTCTCATTCTCATTTTCCAGTTTTAGGGCCTGCTTCGATAGCTGTTGTAGTGGAAATTTCAGCACCATAAAAGAATTGCATTTAAGTGTTTGTATGCATTCTTTTAACTCAACTGATACCAGCAATTGATATACGGTGCATGCATTTAGGTAACCCTTTGAAGGCAGTGATGGATACTGTGATAAAGAGGCTTCCCCTACAACAGTTATTTGGAGAGCTGTTTCAGGATTTCACCGCAGCGTCATCTTACCTATCTGTAAGATTTCAGTTTAGAAAATGGTTAAAATAACCGAATCAGACTAGATAAAACATTTTTCAGTTGAGATGTTGAGAGCTCTGTTTCAGGATCTATTGTTCCATGTCTTATTGTTAGATAAAAATAGCAACGGCATACCTGTAATGTTTACTCTTTTCATATTGATGCTCACAATAGCATGTGATCTCTTCCCAATGGCTAGGTCCTGAGTGATATGCTTCCAAGAGAAACAATTCTGTGGAAGCTAAAGCTGCTTAAATCAGCTTCAGAATATGCCAATTCACGCCTCCATTCTGTAAATGCTCAAACGCTGATACTCTCCAGGTCCGTCTCTCTGGCATAACCCATCATATGTAACGAATGACTAAGAGCAACAAAAGCACAAGATTATTTTTTTAAAAAGAAAACCAATTTATTGATAACGAATGTCCAGAATCATCTGCCTGATCTCGCGCTCTGTATTTTTCAGTGGAAATGACAAGTTGCTACCAAGTCAAGTGGAAGGTGAAAGACTTCACAATGTGCTGCCGAAATGTGAGATACGTTGGTTTTATGGTAGTGGTCATTTCCTTTTCTTGGTAGGATAAACTAACTCTCCCTTCCCTTCTGATGCAGTCAATGAAAACCAAACAAAAGGATTATTTTAATTTAGTTCTTAATTATGAATTTAGATTACTTAGATATCATTTAGGAATTTTTTGTTTTTGTTAGAATATTTAACAAGTTGTTTGCTTCTTATTAGAATTGGGTTCGAATTTTCTTCCTAGTTTGAGATTCTTGATTTTAGTAGGGGCAGGAGTTATATAATTAACTAGTCTTCATATTTCCTAATCATTTTTGTTCCTTAAATCTGAATCTTAAATCATTCAGTTAAATTTTCTAAACAACAGTATGTTTTCTAAATAGAAAAATTATAAGATGATAATTAAATTAAGAGAATCCTCAAATTTATATTTCCTTGATTTCAAGACTTGCCCTCGTCTATCCTTTATATACATAGCAAAAAAGTATTCTTGAGTGATGCTTGTAATAGTTGTAAACATGTGGCAGGAAGATGAATTTGATTTAGGGACCGTTATCAAGGGCACTAGTTTCTATCGTCGAGGGCCATCCCATGACTACATTTCAGATTACATACGACCATCCCCTGCTGAATTCAAAAAAATATATGAATCAATCAGGTATGCTATTTCGCTATCTAACAGATACAACTTGCACTTTCTAATGGGATAACAACAAATTTTAACTTAGCCACTCTAGCAGCTGCATGAGGTAGGTGGATATGGGAAATAAGTTTCAGTTTCCTATCAAACATTATAGTGGGAAGATCTTTTTGCCAAATCTTTTGCAACAATCTTTAGTAGACAATTGTTATTTGAATAGTATATTGTTTCCTGAACTTATTCCAATTATGATGTTTTAGGTGGGTTCGGGATGTTGTAAGCCCTGTGATGCTCTCAACATTTGAAGATGGAAAGATAGACCATGGTCTTGCAGGAATTCCTTCAGAAGGTCCAGTCTTGTTCATTGGCCATCACTTGTTAATGGCACTTGATTTATATCCAATGTTGCCCCAACTTCTTTTAGAAAGAAATATTCTTTTGAGAGGGATAGCACATCCAATGATGTTTATGAAATCGGGAGGACTGTTAGCTCCACTTTCACAATTGGACATAGTCAGACAAATGGGTGCAGTTCCTGTTTCAGGAAAACTTCTTTATAAGCTTCTGTCTTCAAAGGCTCATGTATTGTTGTACCCAGGTGGAATGCGTGAGGCCAATCATGGGAAGGTAATGCTGTTAGTTTTGTCTGTTGTCCTCAAAAATAATTATTTCCCATTTGGAGGTGCTTCTGTTCTGAATTTCGAATCATCGTTCTTTAGATTACCAGTCTATGTTAGAATGAGATAATATCTATACCAGAACGAGATATGAGTCCTCAATACCCTTCTGGCCTTGTAACTTATTTTAAGGAAAATTACCTATAATAGAGATAAAGTAATGAAATGGAAGGTGGTCTATTTCATGTCTATGCTGGGAAGAAACTTGGAATGAGTAAATGCTTTTATGCAATCGATTTTCCTACTATTTCTTTTTCCAAGAGATGAACCTGATTGTCAACATTTCCTCTTCTTTGATTATAATGTTTTCAAGGAAATTTGCCTTCCATGATATATATGGCTTCTGACCAAGAGTCAACTCTTCATACCTCTCAGGGTGAGGAGTACAAATTATTCTGGCCAGAACAGTCTGAGTTTGTCAGGATGGCAGCTCGGTTCGGAGCCAAAATTGTGCCATTTGGCGTTGTTGGAGAAGATGACTTTTTTGATGTAAGTCCAGAGTATTTGTTTCATATGCCCTCCCCTTCTATCAATTTGTTCTGTGAGGCACACTGCTGTTCTTTTTTGTGATTTTTCTTTCTTTCTTTCTTTCTTTCTTTTTTTTTTTTAAAAAAATCTTGTTTGTGAATAGATCTTGCAGAATGACTCTTCATACATTCTCAAACATAGACATGCACTTGACCTTTCTTGAACTAGAGCTGTCTATGATGTGGAATGACTGATAGTTGGCACATCAGGAAGCTTAAATGCTACTGATATTTGAGCTCGACTCATTATCTCTAATATGGTAGATTCACCTTGGATGCCCAGCATTTGTATATCCTTCATTTTGGATTCTTCTTTATCACCAGTTTGAATCTGATCTCTTGTCAAATAAACAATTAATCATGTATTCATCATCTCAGGTATTTTTTGACTTTGATGACCAAAAGTTTCCTTTAAAAGAGATTGCAGAGCAGTTTAAGAATGTGAGGTATGATCACTTCGTCTCATTTTGGTTTCCAGTAAATTGTCTAATTTTTGTTTATCCCAAATTTCCAATTTTCTTTTCTTTGCTTGGTCTCTTCTGATAATAGGACTGAATTACGTGGTGAAGCAAGAAACCAAGATATGCACTTTCCAGTATTTCTACCACAACTTCCAGGAAGATTATATTATTATTTTGGGAAACCAATCGAAACAGAAGGTATGGACAAAATAAACATTTGCCTGTCTTATGTGGTGTTAAGTACATGCCTAGTTAGGTAACCCAGGAAATGAAAATAGCACTTAGTAATATTCCGAAGTTCGTGAGGTCAAAATTGACACCTGTGCTAGCTAAAGTTCTGGACTTCTTTAGACAATAAGCATAGCAAATGTTCTGAAGGAATTGCTAATTATGTTATGAAGGAAGGAGGAAGGAATTAGAAGACAGAGAGAAAGCTCAAGAATTGTACTTACAGGTGAAGACTGAAGTGGAGAAATGCCTTGCTTTTTTGAAGGAGAAAAGAAAAAGTGATCCTTACAGGAGTATACTTACTCGTATGATTTACCAGTCTACTCATGGATATTCTTCTGAGATTCCAACGTTTGAGCTTTGACTGTTCCGCACAGTGAAGAAAACTTTGGGAGAAGAAAAAGAAAATTTCCCTTCACTTGAAGGCAGCCATAGCGAAAAATTCTGATTCTTGAACAATAAATGTCGTTTAGGGCTTTGGCTGTATATTCAGTCGGTTCGCATGGATAAACGCCGGCAGAGTGACTGGAGATTAAGAAAACTTGATCATTAGAAATATGCAGTCTTTATATTTCTGTAAGTTTATGTAATATTTTTGTTATGTATCGATCATATATCACATTGAACAATCTCTAGTTAGAAAAAAAAAAATCATCTCTCTAAACACCAAAAAGGATCCGAGTTTCAAAAAAAAATTATAACACCAAATACAATTGTAAATAGACATAATAATTAGATAAAAGAATAAACAAATTGATATGGATCCATTGGTGCTTCCTAGTTGATATGGATCCATTGGTGCTTCCTAGTGGGCTTGGATGTGTTCTTATCCCTTGTTGCTTGTTTTGGTCTAATTAATATGTAAGGGATATGACAATTGTAAAATAGACATAATAATTAGATAAAAAGAATAAACAAATTGATAATGGATCCATTGGTCTTCCTAGTTGTAATGGAATCCATTGGCTTCCTAGTGGGCTTGGATGTGTTCTTATCCCTTGTTGCTTGTTTTGTCTAATTAATATGTAGGGATATGGGCTCATAGTGTTTAATTTAAGTTGTTTGTTTTGGGTTGGTTTTATGATGCATGCAATCTGCCCAATATCAAGTTGTTTGTTTTGGGCTGGAAATGACTTTATTTTGTGTTTTAGAGTTAAGCCCCTGTGTTTTGGCCCTAGGGCAGCCTAGTTAGATGCTCTTCTTTAGGGTTATGTTTGTTTAAGGCATATAAATAGCCTCCTTAATATGTAAAACGAGATTTTTGGCATAATTTGAATCAAAGGCAGAATTGTTCATGCTCTTGCATGTTCTTCTTAATTAGAGTGATTGTGAGAATTTGCTATTCTCTAATTGCATCAAGAATTAAGGTAAAACTATCAATTCATTTGTGGCGTTTATCTTGTCTTTGGCTCGTTAATTTGGTGTTACCGTTTCATTATAACGTGGGGCTGGCCAATAGAGGCGTATTTAATCTCGATATTAGTGTTTTCCGTTTCATTATAAACGTGGGGTGCCAATAGAGGCGAACTTACATCTCATTCCTTGATTTCCGATCCTGGTTCTTATCATTTGTAATCAGAGCCGAAAAAATCAAGTTTTGGGGTAAGTTCTGTTATCTTAGTTAGGAGGAATTTGAGTTTTCTTGTTGTTGGATTCATTAATTGTTTAATCTTTCGTGTTACATTATCTCTTTAGATCTTGTAAAGTTTTGGGGTAAGTTCTGTTATCTTAGTTAGGAATTTGAGTTTTCTTGTTGTTGAATTCCATTGTTGTTTGTCTAAATTCTTGTTTTCATTCTTAGATCTAGACATTATCTCTTTAGAGCTTGTTAGATCTAAATCTTGTTGGATCTTGACATTATCTCTTTAGATCTTGTTGGATCTAAACATTTTCTCTTTAAATCTTGTTGGATTTAGATATTTTCTCTTTAGATATTCTTGGATCTGAATATTTTTTTTTTCTTATTCGATCTTCTTGAATCTAGTTTTCTCTTTAGATATTCTTGTTGTTTGCTTGTTTCTTGATAAAAAAAAAAAAAAGATCCAGACATTGCAGCCTAAAAAAAAAAATAAAAGGGAAATCTGGACATTGCAGCCTTAACGATCTTACTAATATTAGATCATAAAAAAAAAAAAAAACAAAAAGTCATTGGTTAAAGAGAGATAAGTCAAATTGTTGTTAAGGTCATTACCTACCTAAGTTGAATTGGGAGACAAAAGTCATTGTTGGACAACCTAAATAATAAGTCATTACTTACCTAAATTGAAATTGGGAGACACAAACCATCCACTTATACCTTGTTAAGGCTTTACCCTACCTAAATTGGATCACATTTGTGGGTTAAGTAAGGATATAAGTCATGCACGCTGCTACAGTAACTTGCTACAGGAATTCAGAAGCATCCGTGCTACAGTACCTTAAAAAAAAAATTTTTTTTTTTTTTGGATTTTCTTTGTTTGCTTTCTTTGATTGGGTAGAATTAATTAGGTCCATATTTGATTTGCTTTGTAGTGAACTAAATTCATACATTATATCCAGAAATTGTCTTTTAAATTCTAGTTTCTATTTCTTGTTTGTGTGCTATCTTTGCTTGTTTTTGAGCTTCTTTTGCCTCTATTACATTATTAGGGTGATTGTTTGTCACTACAACTCCTAAATTAATATAATCAAGTACATCATCTTGTCCTTATACTACCTACCATTCATTTCGTTTGAGTTTTCATTCTAGAATTGTGCTTACATTTCTTTTGTTAAGGTTTATTTTCCTTGTGTTCTAAACGTGCTTTGAGGTTGATTGGTTGGCCTGAAATTCTGAAGTACAATGCAAGGAGTGATTAAAGAGTGTAAACACGTGAGGGAGTGCTTTATCACTAACTCAAATGTTTTCGTGTTTTCTATTTTGAACACTAACCATGAGTGCAAGCACATCTAGAGATAATAGTGGGGATGGAAGGCAAATAGACAAATAGATGATTCCCAATTAAAACTTGTAATGGAATCAATCCAAGAACAGTTTAGAAGCTTTAACAGTTTCTTCCAAGATATGAGAAAGGAATTAAAGGAGATAAAAGCCACCCAACGCTCTAATACAACAAGAGCTCGTCCAAGTACTGCACCAACTAGAATTCAAACGCTTGAAGATGAGGAATCATTACTTTAGGAATTTGAACAATAAGTTAGGAAGGGTGCAAGGGAGGAAAAATGTGGATCACCTCAATAGGTATTCATCCACAAAGGAAGAGCAAAAGACCATTCTAACACCAGTTTGGTTAAAAGAAGTGCATGTAGACCAATATAAAAAGCAAAGCATGAGATTTGAGGTTGAAAAGAAAGAAAAGGAGAGGGAAAATAAAATGATTGAAAATAAACAGAGTGCAAATAAAAAGAAAGAGGGAGAAGGAAAGGAAAAACAAATTCAGCCTATATTTGTACCTTTGTGCAAAGAAGTTTATTTTACCGCCAATGATATTAAACAATCTTTGCCTAGTGTGTTTGTTGATCCTTTGCAGAAATTTGAGGATGTGTTTCCAAAAGAAATCGCTCAATCTTCATTTGATGGAAAAGAGATGATTCTTACTCCATTGTCACCTCAAGAAGTATATACTAATCAACAGAAGCTACAAGAGGGAGAGGCTTCAGCTTTGAGGGAAAATGGAAGTGAAAAGAGTGAAAAGTAGTGGATTGCCACCTTTGAGAGGGATAGAACATCAAATCGATTTCATTCTTGGCTCCACCATTCCAAATCAACCAGTCAATAGAAGCAATCCAATAGAGACAAAGGTGTTGCAAAGGCATATTCAGGTTGTAGCAAAAGGTTGTAGCAAACAATGGAGTTCAATACGGTCTAAAAAGGAGAAGAAGAGTAAAGAAAAGGGCATGGATTCTAAGGAGAAGTGGACTGATCCTAGCAAGTAAAAGGATACCTCAATTTTTAACTAAGATTCGAGGACGAATCTTTTTGAGGAAAGGGGGAATGATATGGATCCATTGGTGCTTCCTAGTGGGCTTGGATGTGTTTTTATCCCTTGTTGCTTGTTTTGGTCTAATTAATATGTAAGGGATATGGGTTCATAGTGTTTATTTAAGTTGTTTTGGGTTGATTTTATGATGCATGCAATCTGCCCAATATCAAGTTGTTTGTTTTGGGCTGGAAATGACTTTATTTTGGTGTTTTTAGATTTAAGCCCATTGTGTTTTTGGCCCTAGGGCCACCTAGTTAGAATGCCCTTCTTCGGGTTATGTTTGTTTGAGGTATTTATAATAGCCTCCTTAAGATGTAAAACGGATTTTTGGCATAATTTGAACATCCAAAGACACGAATTGTTCATGCTTCTTGCATGTTTCTTCTAATTAGAGTGATTGGAGAATTTGCTATCGCTCTAATTGCAATCAAAGGAATTAAGCGTAAACTTATCAATTCATTGTGGGCGTTTATCTTGTTCCCATTTGGCTCGATTATTGGGTGTTACCGGTTTCAAATATAAACGTGGGGTGGCCAAATAGAGCGTTTTAATCTCGATTATTGTCGATTATTGGTGTTACCGTTTCATTATAAACGTGGGGTGCCATAGAGGCGAACTTACATCTCATTCCTTTGATTTCCGATCCCGGTTCCTTATCACAAATATAATCCTTTAAAATGAAAAAAAAATTAAAAAGCTTTATTATTAATGAAATAAGTTTATTATTTGAATTATCGAAAAAAAGAAAATAATAATAATTATTGAAAATCATGAATTATCTGAAATTCTCCGTCCAAACATGGCCTACAACTATTGTTTTGGTAGAAAAAAGAGAAGTCTACTATAAGTTTATACACCTAACAATGTGATATAACATGCACAGCGAAAAAGATGTAAAATTGTTTTTCATTTTAAAAAAAATAATTTCAATAAATATTTGTTTTCACATACAATCCACCAATTGATTGGTTGTGTGGCAATGTTGTTTTTAATCAGCAACAAAAAAAATAAAGATACCACAAAAAATTTAACATTTTTATTTTTAAGAATATACCCTAAGCCAATAGGCTTCCCCAATACAACCGGATCAAGAAAACTTCTGCTTCTAAAGGATTATATTTGGTTTTATAATTGAAATGAAAATGGTGGAGATAATACATTGTGGGCTATATGTTGAATAGCATTTTTCTGTTGCAAAAAAATTATTTTCAATGAATTTATGACATCGTCTCCAGATGTTACCTAACAGGTGACAATTTGAAACATCCTTAATTATATACGTCGTCCCGGATTTTTATTTTTCATAGTTAACAAACAAGCAAAAAATCATAGGTTTTCTTCTTTTTGGGATGATGTTTTCGTCGTTAATAATCAAGTACTAGAGACGAATATTTACGTCAGGCTTCCTTCAACAACTATTGAAGTTTCATGAAAGGTTAGCTTTGCTACATTATGATCTTAAACATCTCAAAACAATATATATATATATATTATTTGTTTGTATTTCTATAACATATTTGTAAAAACTTCATATTTAGATTATAATAGACGAGGATCGTCAGTTTTTTAAACTGGAGATTTAATTTATACATGTATTTTCGTGCTCAGATTCAAATCAAGCTTATAAATAAAATTCACTTAAGAATACATTCTACTCTCATTGATTCAATAGCTAATTTTTTTTTTCTAAATTTATCAGATGCTTTGTTTTAATAGTTGAACATGTAACAATAAGCCAATCAATTTTTGGCAAGAATAAAACTAACTAATAATCGGCCGATAAATGTAAATATGTAAATATATAATTTAGCAAAAACCTTTAAAAATTTAGAAATCTTTATCTAGCCTTGAATTTTATAATAATATTCTGCCATATAATAATAAATCTCACGACATCACAGTGTCTTAACTTTTTTTACTTTGTTGTAGAGATTTTACCGACGTGGCGTATTATCATTAATTATTACTCCAAATGTTATCATAAACTAAGTTCACCTAAGATTTTCTCTTACCCCACAACATGATAAATCAACATGTTTCATAGACTAATAAATTTGTAAATATAAAATTTATTGAAGTCTTATAAGACTTAGATCCCCATCTAGGCTTAAATTTTACAATGAAATTCTATTACATAATAATAAATCCCACGAGATTACAATCTCTTAATACAGATTTTCTTTGTTGTTGACTGTCTAACTAATGTGCTTGACTATCTATATTATTAATTATTAGTCCAAATGTCAGTTCTGAACTGAGTTTATACGAGACTTTCTCTTATCCTATAACATGATATTAACTTGTTCCATGAGCCAATAAATGTAAATATAAAGTGTAGAAAAACCTAAATCCCTATGTAGACTTAAATTTTGTAATGAGATTGTATTACATAATAATAAATCTTACTAGATCACTGTCTCTTCACAGAGATTTTTTTTATTGTAACCATTTAACTGAACGTGATAAATTATTATTAATTATTAGTTCAAATGTTCATTCCGAACTAAGTTCACGTGAGATTTTCTCTTACCCAATAACATGATATCAACTCATTTTATAGGCCAATAAGTGTAAATATAAAATCTAGTAACACCTTATAATGTTTAGATCGTGTTTAGACTCAAAGTTTATAATGAGATTCTACTATATATTTATAATCATAAATGTCACGAGATCACAGTCTCTTATAATGTAACAAGATTCTATTACATAATAATAAATCTCACGAGATCGCAGTCCCTTCACAGAGATTTTTTTTTTTGTTGTAATCATCTAACTAAGGTGATCAATTATTATTAATTGTTAGTTCAAATGTCAATTCTGAACCAAGTTCACCTGAGATTTTCTTTTATCCTATGATATGATATCAACTCGTTTAATTAGCCAATAAATGTAAATATAAAGTTTAGTAAAACCTTCTAATGTTTAAATTCGTGTTTAGGCTTAAATTTAACAATGAGATTCTACTATATAATTATAAATCTCACGAAATTACAGTATCTTAATAGAGCTTTTTCTTTATAACCGTCTAACTAACATGGTCAATTATTATTAATTATCAGTGTAAATGTCAATTCTGAACTAAGTTCACTTGAGTTTTTCTCTTACCCTATAACATGGTATCAACTCGTTTCATGTGCCAATAAATATAAATATAAAGTTCAGTGAAATATCATAAAGTTTAAATTTGTGTTTAGGTGTTTACAATGAGATTCTATTATAATGATAAATCTCACGAGATTACAGTTTCTTAATCAACCTTTTTTTTTTTTTTTTTAGATTACAGTTTCTTAATCAAGCCTTTTTTTTTTTTTTTTTAAAAACTGTCGCAACTAAAATGTTTTTTTTTTTTTTTTTTAACTGTCCAACTAATGTGATCGATTATTATTAGTTATTAGTCCAAATGTTGGTTTTGAACTAAGTTTACCTAAAATTTTCTCTTATCCTATCATATGATGACAAACTCGTTTCATTGGCTAATAAATGTAAATATAAAGTTTAGTGAAACCTTATAAAGTGTAAGTGATTTCTACTTAAACTTAAATTTGACAATGAGATTTTATTACATAATAATAAATCTCAAAAGATGACAATCTCTTAATGGAGAATTTTTTTTCGTTGTGACGGTCTAAGTAATGTAGCTAATTTTTTAAACAAAGTTTACCTAAAATATTTCTCTTAACCCATAATATGATATATCAACCCGTTTCAAAAAATAATGGATTAATAAAAAAAGAAATTAAACAGAAATGAAAGCAAAAACAACATATAATTTATTGAAATATTAGAATGTGTTAGATTCCAACCCAAGTACAGAAACAAAATTTCAAGTAACCCAAGGGAAAAAAAAATAAATATAAATACAAAAATTGTGAAATGGAAATCTAAGCCATTCCGATCAAACTAATTAAACATGGCCTATGTAGCTGTTCTGATCAAATGGCTGGCATGCATTGCTTGGCCAATAAACAATCTAATGCTGCAAAAGAACCGTACGAACTTACGAGAACTTATCTAGCACAAAGTCTCACCGGAAAGATTCCGCTTCGGTGACCAGAAGGGCATTTTTGGGATATAATAAATAACAAAAACAATATCTCATCAAACGTAAAGAAAGGGAAGATCAAACCAAACATGACATTAGAAGGAAACAGAAATAATTGATGATCTCATTCTCATAATAAAATTCATTGAACTGGTTCTGGATAAATCTCAAAAACTCCTTTTAATGGTAGCAATGATTAACTACTTGGTATCTGAAAAACACTTCATTAATACTTAACTTTCTCATAAACCAAAATTAATAAATTTTAACTTCTGGGTATTAAAAATTATAAACGAAGAGTGAGGTCAAGATTTACAGGCTCATCATCGTCATTGTTAAGATCAACGACTGGAGAGAAAGGAATATCATTGTCAAGAGGAGGAGAAGTAGCAGAGCCGCCATAAAAACCACTACCACCAGGAATCGAAACAGAACGAGCTGGAGGTGCAAACTGGTGATTCTGGTTCGGGATGGGTTCGAGCCAGTAATACTGGTCAAGAAATGGTGGACCATGGTGGTTCTGGTTCTGGTTCGAGTATGGCTGTTGAGAGAAGTTAGCTTCCATGGACGTGTTCCGGTGAGCTGCGGCTGCTCGTTCCCTCTTGTGGGCGTTTTGGTGGCCCCCAAGAGCTTGAGAGGTGTAGAACTTGCGAGGACAGTAAAGGCATTGGAAGAGACGAGGAGGAGAAGAGGGTGGCGGGTTTGTTGGGTTTTTTCTGGTTGAGGATCTTCCATTTGAAGGAAATGGTGGGTTTTGGTTGAGAAAGTTATATATAGATGGGTCTGCCATTTTTGAGCTTTTTAATTTGCAGAGCAAGAAAGAGAAAGGTGGATTTGGAGTGGAGAATAGATGATGATAGAAGGGTTTATATGGGGTTTAAGGTTTTGTTTGTACGTGAAGAGAGAGAAAGTCAGGGATATGATTGGTTATTGCCAAAATGACAGTAATACCCTCGTTGTTTTTGGAGAAATGTTAGTTTTTTACATTTTTTTTTCTTTTATTTCTGAAAAAATGTTTTAAGGGATTTAAAATAAATTAGGATTACAAAGACTAAAATAGCATGTGTTCTTTTTTATGATGACTGAAATAATTTATCAAGGTAATTGTAAAACCTATATATATATATATATATATATATATATTAAGAGATAATACATCACCTCTACATATACATATATATCGATGAAGAGATCTAAAAAGTACTATTTAAAGTTAAAAAGTTAATTTCTTTTCGGATTAAAGATTGAATAGTGACATTTAAATTGTGTTCGCTTTAACTTTTAGCAAAGAAAAATGCAATTAGAGATGCAATTTATCTCCGCCCATCTAACTATCGGTTAATTTTTCTCTTTTAATTTAATATTTAATTAGCTCTCTTAAAATTTAATAAGTAAAAAGAAATTAATGTTTTCATTAAAATACTCATACTCAAATATAATAAAAATGTACAAGTAATAGTCCAAACATATATAAATATAGTTGCCTTGTTGATTGGAGTTGTGGGTATGGATCTAATATATATGTCTCTTCCATTCCATGCAAAGCAATACAAGGCAAATGATGAGCTCACCCTTCCTTCAAAGGACATATATAACTTAACTAACATATGTACTATTTATATTTCTTTCAAGAGGGATTGTACTTGTATAAGTAGTACTTAAACTTTGCTATTTTGTTTATATATTTACTATTTTGTTACATTATTGCAATTTAAGCAAACCACTCCTAACAAAAACTAAAGGATTAGAGGGTAATTAGAGTAATTAGTAATTGAGATCTTTACCTTAATCATCATTTGCTAGTAGTTAGTTAAGTGGAATTTTAGTGAGCGAGGGAGTTGTTAAAATGAATAAAAAAGAAAGAAAGGGTAGAAATGGAAAAAGAGGGGGGAAATAATAAAGAATGAAGGAAGCAGGTGATACAGTAAAGGACAACAAGTGGTAACACTTACCTCTCCTCCCTCTGTTTTCTTGAAGGCAGTAAGTGTCAAGAGTCAGTGTACTGCGTACATATGCACTGCCCCTCTGCTTTAGTAAGTATCACCAAACGTTTCTCTCTCTTTTCTGTTAGGAATGAAGGACACGTAACAGTTTATGTGTGAGGAAGCTAACTCAATACCCCCATCGTCTAAGACCTTGCATGCACCTGTTAATTGGTCTTTTACATTTATACCCTCTCAATTCGGTGAACAAATTTACAATGTATCTTGTAATAAATAATAAGTTAGAGATTTGCAAGTGTTGATAATTATTAAAGCTAAAACGTCATAATTAAATTTAAACATAATGAAAAATTCATATTTTTATGATTAAAAAAACTAAGGTTTTGACCTTTTGTTTACAAGCGAGGTGGTACATCACATGTTAGGTTTTATGCATTAGAGCTATTTAAATTTTATTCATTTAAACTTATTCGATAAATTTAATAAATCGAGTTGTGAATGAAGTTGGCGAGATTCATTTATTAAGCTCAGTCGCATTTTTTGTTTAAATAGTATGCTGTACGTATATTGAATTTTGAGTTTTTTTACATTTTATATATAAAAGCCAAATATTCCAAAAACGATTATTATTAACACGAAAAAATATGTAATATTATCTAAATTTGTAAATTCAAGTATGCAATAAGTTATTTAGTTCAAAATACTACAGAGTTAATTAATTCATGGGTGAATTATGTATTTAACCATCTATTGATGTCATAAGCAAGCACAAAGATAAATAAAAGGCACGATACTAATATGATTTTAACGTATTATAATTATTTCGATAAAAATATCATAAGATATGTTTATCACAAATGTGTTGTATTGTAATCATAAAAATAATTAAAGACTTATATATATTTTTAAACGAGTTAAACTTAAGTTCAAAATACTTTTAAAGAGTTTAAACTTCAATTCAATAAAACTCGACTCAACGCAAGTTAAATTCATACATGCCTCACACTTTAGAACTAAAGATTTGTAAATCACAATATAATATAATCCGAACCAAAAATAAAAACATTAATAAATAAAGTCATATATATACCAACCCACTCAAGATTTAAAATTTAACTCATCAATTTTAAAATAATAGGATTAAATGTTAAATGGCAAAAGAAAAGATATAGATTCCCTGTCTACGTGTGAGTATATGCATGTATGATGTGAAGTAATATGAAGGGCCACGTCAAGTAGACCTATTGGTGTGGTGGTGACATTTGATGATTGGTGACCCAAAACGAAGAACAGATTTATTGAATTGGTGAAGGCTTTTTGTGGGAATGTTTTCCTGTAATGGGTTAGTTCTAGGTTGGCTGGCTTAGTCTTGGAATTGCAATTTGCTTGGAGAGATGCTTTCTACTGCCAATTTAGATTACAATAATTAAATGTGATCTTTGGATGCCTTAAAAGTGGCACTGTCACTGCTCTTCTATCTCTTTTAAGTCCCATGTTTTCTTTTCCTTTTCTTGCCAAAGCACATCACATCTTGTTAAACCCAGCTGGATTCTATCTCACATGTTTGATATTTCCCCCATTTTCAAAAGATTAGATCCTTCAATCACAAATTTGTTTACCTTATTCACCAAAATTAGATTCTTTTCTCATATTGAAAAAAAAAAAAGACAAGATTTGTAAATTCATACGTGAATTTTGTTACTTTAATCCCAAGGCAATCTCAACTTTTACTTTAATCTGTCAAATACTTAAACTTATAGAATTACACCTATTAAACACATCAACTTACAAAAGTAGATCAAATTAAACACAATGTAATAGTTGAAAAATGTAAAATTTATTATTACAAATCACATATCAAATCAATATTTTTCGTATAAAAGCCAAACATCCAAAAAATTTTGTTATTAGTATAAAAATATATCTAATAACCAAACTTTAAAATTTCAAGTGCATTATAAACTGCAAAGTTCAGAATATCACAGGATTAAAATTGTAAAGTTTAAGGATAAATTTATATATTCAATCATCTATTGATATCGTGGGCAAGCAAAGGTATAAATAAAACACACGAGATTCATACAATTTTAAGGCGTTGACATTTTTATTTTTGTGAAAATAACGTACGAAATGTACATCACAAACGTATCGTTTTGAAATCATAGAAGTGTGTAAAGACTGTTCGACGCAGACATGTAGTTATGACTATAATGTTTGGTGCTTCATAGAGCTAAAGAATAAGATTTATATTTATGATTTGAATCAATAATCATAAATTTCACCTTAATAACCAAAATTAGATTCTTATATCAGATTACAAAAAAGCAAAGATTGTAATTGATATTAAAAATCACTATATAAATTCACCTATGAACTTTGTTACTTTAACTTTATGGCTTCCGTAATTTTTATTTTGGTCTATCAAATGCTTCAACTTATATAAACTTATACCTATTAAACACTTCAACTTATAAAATTATTTTAATACTCCAATTTTTAAAAGTAGATCAATTAAACACTCAGTAAATAGTTAGAAAATATAACAATTATTATTTTAAAAACTATGTTAATTATATATCAAATCAATATTATGCATATAAATTTAAAAAAAAATCCTAAAATTTATTAGTATGAGAAAATATATAATATTATCAAAATAAATAATAGGTCATTCACAAAAATCAAAGGTCAATAATCGTAAAAGTGTTTAAAGACTATGTACTTACGATGATAATATTAGGTGCTTTGTAGAGCTAAAGAGTAAGATTTATATTTATGATTCGAATCAATGATCATTAATTTCAATAAATGGAAACTTCACCTTAATCACTAAATATAGATTCTTATATCAGATTTAGAAAAAAAAAAAAAAAAAAAAAAAAAAAAATTAGTTAGAAAATATAAAATTATTATTTTAAGAACTATGGTTAATTATATCAGAATAATCAATATTATGCATATAAATTTAAAAAAGATCCTAAAATTTATTAGTATGAGAAAATATATAATATATTTAGATCAAAAAATAAATAATAGGTCATATCAGGAGAAAAAATCAAAGGTCATAATCGTAAAAGTGTTTGAAAGACACTATGTACTGTACGATGATAATGATTGAAGGTAGCTTTGTAGAGCTAAGAGTGAAGATTTGTATATTTATGAGTCGGAATCAGAAGTGATCTTATTCATAAATGGGAAATTCATTTAATTCACTAATTATATATATTGTTATACCGATTGTTAGAAAAAAGAAAAAAAAAGAAAATAAAGAAAGAGCAGAAGATTATATTTGTTTATTTTCAGAGGCTAGATAGCATAAGATTGCAACCATGAATTTTGTTACTGCTTTAGCTAATTTCATGGTGTTTTGCAGGTATTTATATTTTGGCAAAAAAAAAAAAAAAGAAAAAAAAAAAGAGCGAAGATTATAATTTGATTTTTCAAGGCTATACATAAATTCACCATGAACTTTATTACTCTAATTTCATGGTGTCTTCGACTTTTATTTTGGCCATCAAACTTCAAACACTTCAACTTGTTATAAAATCACACTTGGTAGACATTTCAACTTCAAAATCATTTAATTAAACATTTCAACTTACAAAAGTAGATAAATTAAACATCCATGAAGTATGAAAAAAAAAAAAAAATACAAAAATTATTGTCCTAAAAAGTATGCTAACTGCATATTAAATCAAAATTTTACACAAAAAAAATAAAAACTAAAATGTTTTAGTATGAAAAATGTGCAATATTATAAAAATTTACAACTTTAAGTGCACAATAAATAATTTAAAAAGTTCAGGATATTACAATATTAAAGTTAGAAGGTCTAAGAATAAATTTATTATGCATTTGACTATTTGTTAGTGTCGCAAACAAGTGCAGATATGAACAAAAAAAAAACACGATATTGATACAATTTAACATGTGGATACAATTAGTGCTATGAAAATATCGTATGATATTGTGTATCACAAATGTTAGATCATATTTTGATCGTAAAAGTGTGCATATTAATGACTATTGGACGCAGATATACAGTTATTTGCAGTCTTTAAAGACACTCACTCCCAATTTTATCTTTCTTATAAAAAGAAATTAAAATAACAATTAGCAATAATAATGTTTATGAGGTCTTTGCGTTGGTCTGAACATTGTAAGCAATACGGGCCTATAGAGCAGGACCAAAGACATCCCATCTCTCACTGGATATAAAAAATGGTGTCCCGAGTCCTACCACTGAACATATTTTCCACCAAACAGGCAAAATAAAAATGCTGAACAAGGCAAATCACAAGGATGAGGGAAGCAACTTGAAAAAACCAAATTAATATCCAATGGTTAGCCACTTAAAGATTAACCAGTTCGGTTAGAAAAAATTGCCAGAAACCTGTTTATCGAACATCGATTACCAAACAAGCAATAGAATCTTATCAACTCAAGGCCGTAGTATTGCTGCAACGACCGACAGGCATTGATGGATCCCGAGAAATGTTCAGAGGCAATCAAAACAAGTAATTGAAGCTTAACCCGTCAATTATTATTGAATTAATATTTACAAGTTGAAGGGTTTGTGTGATTTTGAGACGTCACAACTAATTGGAACATTGGGTGCGTATGTACAAAGTCAGCATGGCTCCATTTCAGGTAAAACTTTAAACATTTCAGTTGCTGATATCGAAATATCTAGGATCGTCCGGGAAGTGATATTCCACATTCAACTGCAAAAGAGAGTAATCACCATTATAAACTCGCAAGCATGCTGATATACAAAAAGAATATACAATTTCTTAAACTTTGCCACTATCCATTATTAAAGACATTTAAGTTAGTATTTTTATTTTATTGCATCTCATCACAAGTTAGGATTAGCTCAATAAAAATGCATCTCAAATTTGATAAGGAAATTATAAGCAGAGCTCATGGAAAGAACAAAATTCACTCAGGAAACAGCAAAGAAGAAAATGTTAAAAGGAAACTTGGCAGAAGATGCCCCCAGAATATTAATTTTCCTCAGATTGATGGAGTTAAATCTACCACTGTCCACGTCACATGTTATCATTGAAAATTACTAAACTTTACCTCAAAATAAAAGAAAAAAGGATGAGAATTATTAGAGTTTTATATAGAATCAAGAAGGAACAGCATGACAAAAATGTCTGAAGCATTTCAATCACTTCAAGAAGAAAAATTGGGGAAAATCATAACAGTGTAATAAAGTGGCTGCAAATGCTCAGTATCAAATCAGGTTCTCAAGAGCGTGAAATTCAAATTCCTAGTTGGCAACTATAAAATTTTACCATGCATGACCAAAACAACTATGAAATATCAGCGATGAGATAAAATACTAAGAACTCGTGTATATGTTTAATTCAGAATCACATACCTTGCCCTCATCAGCATCTGAATGGCGATGAGGGAACACAACTCTCAGGTCATTGTATAAATAGAACCTGCGGTCCCCTTCCGCATCTAAATGTGTATTTTGTTTTAGAGAAGTGGGATCAGATTTGCATCTCTGAACTGACCTAGAAGACTTTTTAGGGGAAGGGCATAGAAAACGGAGATGCAGGGCATAACGCAGAGCACCACCATGTGCATTATCATTGATCTTTGAGCAGCCATGAGTTGATCTTCTGTCAATTCCAATGCATGTATCCAGCCCAATGCATTCCTTCCTGTTAGTCCTCTGGCAATTACCATTACTTGAGTTATTCTCGAGTATATAAGAATCAACACCTACCTTCCCCACACTGCACGATTGCTCAGACAAATTCCGTGTGTTTATTGAATCTGCTGTATCATGGCATTCCATTCCCTTAACTTCACTATTTTGGCTGATAGAAATAGCTGTATTAACAGGATGGTTTTTTTCTGGCATTGAGTTCATCTTGTCCTTTGTTTTCGTGTCCAAACCTACATGGCCATGTTTGAACTCTGATGATGCTGTTCCACTAGAAGCTAAAGTGACCTTCTGGCGCAAGAATGTCTGCTTTGATTTTGACAGAAACAAGAAAAGAAATAGTATTTAGATGCAAATCATATTTATAACTTACAAAATTAAAGTACACTGACATGGAATAGATCTTTAGCTGACAGTATCTTGTAATGCATTGGACCTATCACATTTCCAACAAATAGAACAACAGAGGCTTCGCCCCAATGCCTACCTCTAAACTGATACAGAACTTGAATTGTTTATAAACATATTGCCCAAAAATTTAGAATAATATGTTGAATACCTAGATCAGGTAAAAAATTTTTGGTATTGTAAAATTGGTTACAACAACCAGGAGAGGAACAAAAAAATAAAGCAGCTGATTCTCGATTTTGGACATCTAACAACCAAGAGTCCCATTTTCCATTGAAAGATAAAAAAGAAAAAATTAATTTACTCTAAGTTCAACTTTTATCTGAACCTTTTCTAAATCTTGAACATTCTGAAATCTCAACCATCAGATTGTTTGACACGTGTAAAAAGCAATAACATGAAAATATTGTTTTGAGTTGCATGGTTATTAAGAGAAGTGCTCCCTCAAATTCAATTACAATCACTTACAAATGTCCTCCACAATGGGGAAAAGAAGATTCTAGTCAACTTGGAACTCAGGAAAGAGCTCCAAGCGCACTACTAATTACTATTTCTATTTCTATAGCAGAAAAACAATGTTCAATAAAATGCAGTCAAGATCCAATGGATGAGCTTACAATAAACTAAAACAAGTCAAGGAAACCATTTCTGTCTTACTTTGGTACCAGCTGGCATGTCGCTCAAATCATAGTTGCAAAGAAAGGTGTGAAGAGGCGTTTTTTCTGGATTACTGAGAACCTGTAGAGAGCAAAAGGTGATGAAACTAAAGTCAATGATCACATAAATTACCTGCAAGTTATAATTTCGATCCATAAACTATACATTACTAAGGATATAAAACTAAATTACTTAAGTTGAGACCGTAACTCAAATGTACTAAAGACAAAATGATCCTTCACTAGCAAACATAGTACTTAAACATTGAGATTGAATTAGGGGCAAACTAGCATATCGAAATAAAGATTGTAGCATAACTATAAACATTTTCCCAACTGCCAAATATGAAAGAGGCTACTAGAATGGACAACTCCAAACGGAATGGAAGTATCCCATTCTAATCAGATCTATGATATCTCAATATTTTGACATGAAATGGTCAATATACTCTAAAAAACTGCCAAAGGAACTCAGAACTAAAAATTAATTGGTAAAGAAAAGCCTATTACCAGTTGCACACGCCCTTTCATAGGAATACGCAAGCGGTTCCTGACAGTTTGTGAATCATCATTACTTAGGACTCTTTTCAATTTTTGGCCTCTATTCTTGTTTGACGACTTTCCTGCAAGATCTATGGACGCATAATATAGTAAATAACAATCTCCATCCACACTGGTCACTGAAAAAGGAAGCTTCTGTGATTGTGGTGAAAAGTTCCCTCCGGTAATGCTTAACACAGCTAGGAAACCATCTATTTTCTACAAATACAAAATGCCAACAAAAGCAGCAAGCAAGATACGATTACTAAGAACAGAAAATAAAAAATGAATTAAGAACCAATCAGCAAAATCATCATAGCATCACATCACATCTAACCTGGGTGAATTTTCCAGAAAAGAACCGTCCAGACAACAGTGACTCCTCAAATGAACCAACCAAAGACCTACGAACAGGAAGACCACTCAAACTTCTAATGAATCTTGCTCTAGGGGAAGGAGCTGATTCTTGAAACAAAGACCAGCTATAAGTAGCTCCTTCAGGAGAAGATGGATGAGAATCTTTGGGGAAGAGATCAATATCTTCAAATGATCTTCTTGTGATTGTAAAATCTGCTTCTTCTGGACCAAAGACAATGCCCAAACTATGTTTGTCGAGTGACTGTTCTATACTTTCTAAATTTGAACAGCAATCCTCTATGTGGCTCTTAACATTTTTGAGTCCTCCTGGAGTGTTTAGTGTTTCAGAAAACTTAGGTCCTAGAGGAGACAATGATAGAGGGGGTGAAACTGCTTTTTGGGGGGACAAGGATATTGCCCTGCTTCTGGTTCTTTCTTCGCATGATCCTTTGAAATGATCTGGTCTGGGAGAGTATAAACAAGTACCATCACTAGATAGGTCTTTGTTTTCCAGTAAAGGGCCATCAGTGAGAAAAACAGATGCTCTTTTGTTATTGTCATATAAAACATTTCTTGTATCCAAGTAACTGGATAATGACCAAGATGATGCGGTGAAGTTGATTTTACTACCAACATTTGCTTTCTTACAGTCATGTGGTGCAGAAACATTTAATTTATTGGTTAGAGCAGAGGAATTCAACTGAGAAACTTGGCTGCCAATATCCAGATGATCACCATCAAATTGTTCGGCAGAAAGCATGGTATTTAGAGGTGACAATAACCTTTTCCTGACAAGCGTTCCACTCAGCTCAGTTTCATTCACTCTCAGGCCAGAAACAGAGGATGAATGAAGATGATCACCTGAAAATCCCTCCAGTCCATTATTTAAAGAACTTGTTCCCCGTGATTTAAAACCAACTATCCTAGAAGCAGGGTTCTGGATATTCCTTCCACTTCTAGGAGCAATTTGACCAACTTTATCTGCAGAACCAGTTATCAAGTCAAGAACATCAGAAGTAACATCCACTGCCCCATCTAACCTCAAGGCATTGTCTGGAGATTTTGAAAGCTTGAAGGCAGTTTTCCTCTGAAAATCTCCCGCAGAACAACTTCTAGCAGCCCCTACTGTTCCCCTTATATTTCCTTCAGGCAGTTCATCCAAGTCACAGGTGCTTGCACCAGCAAATCGTGGTGGGCTTTCCAAAAATGAGCCCAATGACATTGCTGGATTTTCATTACTATCATCATTACAGGAAATTTGCGGCAAGCCCATGGCTTAAATTCGTAGACACAGATATCTTTCTACCTTGTGGAGCTGAATAAATTATCTGCTCCTCTTTTTCATTTTAAGCGAGTCTATTCAACTTTTAATTTCTGAGCATTCTCTATTTCCAGCTCAATTTTCCTAAAACAAGCGGAAAAGTTCCCTGTCATCTAATAGAAACATTATTCAGGCTTACTAATCCTAACAATGTGATTGAATCAACATGAAAACCAAGAAGCTCCACCATTGCAGATATTATCAGAGCACAAACAAATCCAACAGAAGCAATTTCCTAACCTACAGGGAAGCCAACACTATGTATCCACCAAAGGTATCCACGTTTCAACTACAACTCCTCTATGAGATTGCATAGAAAAAGCTGAACACATACTAATTACCCAACAATAATGTGTGGCACAGATTTTCTGACCTCCAAACCAGCAAACAATGAAGCACCTAGAATTCATTGTAGTTAACAGAACGTATGCCACTGCCTGATAAAAATCAAAATCAAAAAGAAAAGAGAAAAATTATTAGTTCTACCAGCTTCAGAGAGAAAAATTTCATAGTAATAGATACCTTTCTATCTCTAATCAGTATTTCCATTTGATTGAATTTAGAATTCGATCCTATTGAACTCCATGGACTCCCATTAATTTCCGAACCTTTTTAACTCGTAGCCACAAAAAGAATGTTTGATTGACAAACTTGATTACAATCACCTACGAATGACTTAATCCTAACTGCAAGTAACTTTACAAGAATTGAGATTCCAAGACAACAAGTCCATTTACAATTAGTAGAAAAATAAAATAAATATAGATGTATAGTAAGACAATACTTAAGAAGACTCTCATGCTTCAATCTAACACAACCTGTACAGCATATTAGTAAATGTTATAAAAGAAAAAAAACTCAAAATCAAAACAGACTCTAATCTACCATCTCTTATGAACCAAAACTTACAATACCCAGAAATTATCTCACCCAGCAAGCAAAACCCACAAGGTAAAAAGAAATTAAAAGTACAGAAACAGATTCCTTCACCCGATCAAAAACAATAGAGACAAGGCTTACAGAGCTCGAACGAGTTTGCTTGTACGGCACACATTCACCCCATTCCGGAGTCATCAACCACCCACACGAAGCAACATTCATTTATTTATTTTTAGAAGCTAAAGCCAAAATTATATATTATCTTAAAAAAACCCCACAAAAGTTAACTATACCCAGAACGCCAACAGAACTCGATTTTCTTCTCAAATAATCAAATAAATAAATAAACAAGCAAAAAACGTCAAAAATATTTTAATCTGATCAATGAGACGCACCAATTAAGCATGTGATCAAGGATTCTGGTAGACAAGACATTTCAATGGTGAACTGCCATGAATTTCAATCAATTCCCAGATCATAAAATTACTAGAATAGAATTATGTTCTCAAATCCTTGAAAGAGCAAGAGAAATAAAAAGATCCTTCATGGAATTAAGGGAGAAATAAAAGAAAAAAAGAACTTTTTTTTTTTTCCTTCTTTCTTTTCTTGGGTCTGCTTAGAAATGGAGATGGAGAAGAAAGAGAAGGTGGGTGTGAGTTTCTAGAAGTAGGAGAAGAGAAGAGAGCCATGTCTAAGTCCATTCCCCTCTGTTTATAATCCCAAAATACAAGCCTCATCACCACCCCTTTTTGCTACCTTATTTAGTTATTTTCCCCTGCTGTAATTTGTAAATTATACATCTCTCCTTGCTGGCTTTTTTAAAAATTTCTTTTTATTAATTTATAAATTTATTAATTTTCCTCCATTTTTTTTCCTTAAACAATTTTTTATAAGTAAAAAATAATATCATTTATATTGGGCCATGTATATTTTGTCTATCTCCTTCTTCTTGCTTCTCCCAAAATTGGTACATATATAAAAAATTTAGTTATAGTGAAATTAAAATCAATATGTGTCTGTTTTTGCATGATTAACTAAATTTGTTTTTTTCCGCAATCATGTTTTTGGTATGTTTGATTTGCTCGTGATAGATTAAAAAACAAAGGCTTAATATAATATAAATTTCACTATAGTTACAAACAAACTTATAAATAAACTATAGTTACAATTTCTTGAGTCAATCAGATATGATCTCATTAGTCTTCATTCGTCTTATAGAATATGTAAAAAGTGAAAGATCTTAATCCATCATAAAATTTATCACTAATTTGTGAATCTTATTCAAAGAGATTGCTACTTTATTGTGTTAGGGCAATGTTATTTTGGTACCTTATATATTACTCCGTCTATCTCAAAATATAAATGTTTTTGATTTGTTATTTTGTCCCAAAATATAAATAGTTTTGTATATGTCAAAGAGTAATAAATTATGTTTTTTAATGTTCTCTTATTTACACTAAATACAATAAATACTTTACAAACAACTATTGATTTCGAGATAAATGATAATTTGATCAAATTACTCTTGAGTTTGTTATAATCTAGAAGAATTAATTATTTCCTTAATCTTTGTGCAAAAACCTTAAACGACTTATATTTTGAGACAGATGAAGTACAAAAAAAATTAATTATTGACTTTAAATAATTTGCTTATACAATCTAACACAACTTATTTACTACTTTCGTATACTTGTCATATTTTAAAAAATTGTTTATTCAAAAATACTTTTCAAATTTTATAGTTTCAATTGTAATAAATATGGAACAAAAGTAGTACTTCAGTTATTAGCATTGTAATGGCATTCATTCATATCTTAAGGCCGACACTCATAATAAATATTCTAAAAAGGTTGATTTTATTCGTGCCTCTATTTCATAATACTTGTCACATTTGAAATTTCACGTCTCTTAAAAAAACATTAAATTTGTCCAAATTACAATAAATTATTAAGTAAATTGACTATATTAGCCTTAATTTAATAATTCTATAAGAAAACTATTAATTGAAGTAATAATTATTAGTAATATACAAAGGGTAACATATGAAAAAAGAATACTTATTATTTCTTAAAATCACAAATGTTATAAGTATTTTAGAATAAATTATTTTCTGAATTATCACAAGTATTATGGAACGAAATTAAAGTGAAATTTCAATAAATAAAGTAATGTTAGAAATCCCAACAAATCTCTTGGTAAATCCATTAAAAACAATCTCACTGTAGTGAGATTTTTATTGTATCGAATCCTAAGCTCCTATCGTACTTATTGAAAGGAAAATATTTAGCTACACTTCATATTTGGGTCATTTTATACATAAGATTAATAAAAATAACAAATTTTTATTGTAATAAGTATTTTTTTTCTATATTTGAACGTTCATTTTAATGGTTCATTTTAATCCCCTTTCATCATCAAAGTTTGTATTGCGGAGGATCAAACCCATAACTTAAGTCGTGGTACTCTTTGCCGCTTAGCCTATTCATGTTTAATTAGTGTACATTTGAGTATATATTGAAAAAAATCTCTCTCTCTCTCTCTCTCTCTCTCTCTCTCTCTCTCTCTCATCTCTCTCTCTCATCTCTCTCTCTCTTCTCTCTCTTCTCTCTCTCTCTCTCTCCTCCTCTCTCTCTCTCTCTCGCTCTCTCTCTATATATAAACAAGCAAGCATAAGTCGTTTTAGTACATATCCTATACGACAAACAAGCGTAAGTATCTAAAATTGTCATGTGTAATGAGACTTAGTACAATTGTAAGAAGATAAATCGTTTTAGTTTTTCAGATAATGTCTTTATCAGAATAATATCTATAAAAAAAGTTATCTCTAGCATTTATATATTGATATATTAATATAAATTTATTTCTTATTTCAAAATAATTAATAAGTGATCGACACGCTTAAAAATGTGAATAAACAATATATTATTATTAAATAAATAATTTAAAAAAATATGAATTGGAACGTATGGATATGATAATTTTTTAAAAATAAGACATTCACATACTTAGAACACACCACATTAAATAAATATTACATTAATATTTCAAGTAAATATACAATCATTTATAATAAATCATAAACATAAAATAGATCAAAAACTTAATTTCTTATTTCAATGACGCAAAAAAAAAATTAAAAAAAACACTTCATTTTCAATTAGTAATTGTTGATTAGCTTGGTGTAGTAGTAGTCTCACGTGCTAAGAGTTAGGTTGCAACGACACAGGACACGAGAACGTATGAGATATGATAATTTTTAAAAAAGTATGACACTCACACGCTTAGGACACATTAATCACAGAACAAGTAATACATTAATTTTTCAATTAAATAAATAATCATTTGCAATAAGTTATAAACATAAAATAAATAAAAAAACATAATTTCTTATTCAAATGACATGAAAACAAATTAAAAAAAAATTCATTTTTATTGGTAATTAAAAAAAAAAACTTTGATTGTTATGCTTGCTATATGAAATAGTCTCATATAACAGGAGCTAGGTTATATGGGACACGGCACACAAGATACGTAAATATACATGATATGATAATTTTTAAATAAGTAGGACATCTACATACTTAGAACACACTACACTAAATAAATAATACATTAATATTTCAAATAAATAAGCATTTATTTATAATAAATCATAAACATAAAAATAAAAAATACATAATTTCTTATTTTAATTTAGTTAGTTAAATTCTCAAAATTGTTATCAATATTGAAAAATACATTAACATTGTATATGCATTTTTTTGTTATAGGTCATATCATATATGACTTTTACTATTATTAGCGAAAGGCTTCACTGGATACTTAAGAAATCATATCTTAATTAATGATGACAATTTTACTTGACCTGGTGGGTACCCGATCAGATCCGATTTGATTTTAGCGAATTTGAGTAGTGAGTAAATGAGTTCAAAATGAGTTCAGATAGTATTTTTTACTACCCATATTGGGTTTGGCTTGAATTCAAGAACTTGGCTACTCGCTACCCGTTACCCGCTAATTAATATTTGAAAAATATTTAAAATAATTATTTTTCTAAAGAAAATTATATATATACACACACACCTTTTTAATTAAATTAATGCTATAGTTATATTTAATATTCATATCATATTTTTTATTAAATCAAAAGAATAATTTTATAATTTATACTTATTTTTTATTTTTGAAAAATAAAAAATATTTTTAATGCAAACGGGTTTAAGTATTTAAACAGATAATTATAATCTGATTTGATGAGTTTGGTTATTAAAAGTGAATTTCTAAATGGGTTTGGGCATCTAAATTTTTAATCACATTTCAGAATCATTTTCTTATATAATTTTATTATTTTCAGATGATGTTATAAAAGATTATTTCATTTTTTAATGCTATTATGCGCATGTTAATACTAATAATAATTTTAAAAAAATCTTTCATGTAAAGGATATAAAAAATAAAAAATAAATAAAAAAGAGAGAATCTTCACCAATAAATTAAGTAGCTGAATTTGAAGATGGTAAAGAAGTAAATGGGATGGGAGACATTATATCATGTGAAAAGCCTAACAAGCAACCAAAAGTAGCTACAAGCCCTATCATCGCCATTTGGATTCAGTCACTTTTGACCCCTCCAAACGTACAATCACCACCCAACCCACCATTCTCAAAGAAAAAAAAAAATCTTATAATAAATAATAATTCTTATTTAATTTTATTATTATTTTTTAATTATGTAAACAGTAATAAATATTTGGGACTCTACCAAACAAAATTTTTGGCACCCCCATTGATAATGATAATGACACTAACAAAAAAAAAAAAAAAGAAAAATTTATATAAAAAAAAAAAATTTGTTGTTGATTGAATTAGTAGTCTGGTGAAAACGTGTCTGCCTTGTCTGGCTCTGTAAAAAGCATACAATGAGAGAGCATCAATCATGGTGATTGATGAAACTGAGAAAATGCCACGTTGCCCGCAATAGGACGTGGGAACAGCTGATGCTCACATCTGTCCGTCCTCGATCGGCATGAAGTCAGGCTCTAACCATCCAGCTATCTACCACCCTTTCTTTCTTTTCATAATTTGATGCAAAAGAGATGCAAATTCGTAAATAATTCTAAATTTTAAAATTCTCATTTATATAAAATTCGTGTATAAATATAATTTATTTTCATTTATCCAATTAAGTTAATAGTTTACGATATGAACTTTAACTTTTAGGAATTTGCTCAACTGGCAAATAAATTTACTATCTATCTTATTGATCAGGATTTATTTAATTACTGAACGAAAAGGAAAATTATAACTTCTAGAAAATTCAAAAATTTACCAAGAACAATTTCTTTTAAATAAAATTTTTTGGTGGGAGCAAAATCTGAAATAGTAGTTGGAGCAAATCCTATTTTCCAACATATGGGCATGGCCTAAAGGGTGGAAGACAATCAAATGTCAAATATCTTTATAGAATTTTCTTTCTCACCAGGATTGGATTCTCAATAGACCCTAAAGCTCTTGGCCACATGTTTTTCTTCTTTTCAAGCCCCATTATTTTATGGTACGAGTTCTGGATTGGGTAAGAAAAGCTGATCACGTGACGGCTCGTGTAGTCACATGCCATGAGAAGACATAAATATATATATATATATATACATCATGTGTGAAATAGGAGATATAATAAATAAGGCTGCTCTTGGATATTTGGATGAGACACTTTGACGGTCCCAAGCAGGCGTACAGATCAGCGGAACCAAGTTTGAATATGCTAGACTTAAGACTTCAAAGTAGGACTAATAAAATTTAGTTCAGTTCAAAATTGAACTATCTCGAAAATTTAAATTCGGATTCAGTTTGAATTCGACTCAAGCTCGAGTTTAATTAAAAAATTTTAAACTTTAACTTTAACTCGAGGCTGAAATAACTTAAAATAATATATAACTATATACCTATATATTATAGTATATATAAGAATTTACGATAAGCTTCGGGAAATTTTCCATTTGATCAACCACCTTGATTTGAGTGATTTTTCACACATATTTTTAAGCCGACTCCAACTGTGCCCCATGAGCGGCTCGATCATTTACGACCTCTACGTCCCAAACCTATAACATAAGATTTTTAATTATATATATATATCCTATCATTGATATGAAGGGTAGTCCGAGAAATTGATTATATATATATATATATATATATGAAGGAAAATGATCCTAGATTTATTTGAAAGTCCAATATGGTCTCACCATTAGGCTGCTTTGGTTTCAATATTATACTACCTAAATTCTAAAATACAGGTCATTTAAGATTTTATAGAAAGATTAAACAAACAATTAATTATTAAAAATAATTTAATCAAATTACCCTTTATTTTAAAATTAAAAATAACTCGTAAAATAATTATTGTATCTAATATACTAAAGGTGACATTAAAAAAATTATTTATTACTTTTTAAAATATTTAAAACGATTTATATTTTAAAACAAAACATCACTCTCTCTACAACTACTCATATTTTGAAATTGAGGGAGTATTCATTTATATCATATTTAATTTAATACATAATATAATTGATAAGTACTGTAATTAACTAATTAACAAATGGTAAATATTAGCTGATTAGCCTCTCTAGCTTTGCTGCAAATTGATCCCGCTTGCAGATTCTATTGTATCATTAATGGTAAATAAATTATATATCAATTAACAAATGGAGATTATCAAATTGAGGACTCACTCGATCATTGAAGATAAAATCTCATCTTTTCAATAGAAACAATTATGATTTATTACTATACTTACAAAGCATAATCAAAAGGGACACAAGCTTCGCTCATGAGCAGCAACTATGTCATTAAATTTTGGCAAGGTAACACCTGAAAATTAGTACATGTAATCAAGAACATGGCTATGCTTCGCTAAAAGGGTCTTGCAGCTTCTTCCAACATCTTCTTGACTCTTGTCAGTTTCTCTAACTCCTTGAGAACCTGAAAATGTCCAACAGAGAAGGAAGAAATCCTCATTCTTACCTATCAAACTACTTCTAAAGATAAACATTTAAATTTCTTTACCTCCAATGTCATATCCTCTATTGTCACTGAGTCGAACTCGTCATAGCCTAATTTACCGGCTACTTCTGCTTAACACAAGAAATAATAAGGAACTGATTATATTAAAAAAAAACACATTATTCTTCCATCACAAGCTAGGAAGGTAGAGTATGTACTTTGCAGAGAAATTGTCGCATCACTTGTTGCATATCCTCCTTTCATTTCTTCATATTTAGCAATTAACTGAGTTAATACCTGGTTACCGTCCGTTATATCCATTAGACATGAAAACTCAGATGGGCTCAGTAAAACAAGTTTAGACAGTCTAATATTTGACAGGGAAGATTAAGCAAGGCAAGCAGTTAACAGCTCAAATAACAACCTGTGAATGAGATTCAGAAGCTATTTCAGATTCAGTGAATTGGTTCTGGTCTTCGCTCATTGTCCTAGCGACTATATCCAACGGCACATCAATCCATAGTGAAATTCCATGTCTCAGAAGTGCCCTAATGATTATAAGGAAGTAAAAATTTCAACAAAAAGAACAAATTGAGTAGCTAAATATACTATTCATGAGGCATAGAGGTAGAGCATTCACACACTAGTGCAATCATTGTTCATGTTCATACAGGTTAGTGGAACTTTGAACTGCGCTGTCTCCAGCGCATACCACCAGCCGACCCATAGATGATAACTGCTTCAATACTTCTGTCTGTAGCAAAATTCATTTTCAAAACAAGTTAATTATCTGATCATTAAATAACAGAGGCACCATATATTCTAGCTATAGCCTTGAGGCCTTTGCTGAACTCAAGCAGGCCTTAATGACAGATTAAATTCACTCACAACCAAAGCACTAATTCAATAATGGAGAAATTCTAAAACAGAACTTGTACTCCAATCAATATGTATAAGCACAAACATAGTTTATAGTTGGTCTTAGGAGTTGTTTAGGCCAAAACTCACCATGTATCTAACATTTTGACACCTAGACAATTAATACTCTCCGATTAAGGCACATCACTAAACACTTAAATGCTTAATTAAGAGTTTCATATGATTTTTAATATTAAATATAAGTTAACAAAATAAAGACTACACTTGCATAGGTTGAGAGCAAGTTTTAAGTTCTAACCAATCAACCACCAAACTGGCATCCAAAAGATAAATAAAGCAATATCAAAATGGGGCTTGAAAAACAAAAAAACACCTCAGATTCGCGAAATGCCTTCTCATCAGTCTCCCTAAAAGATTTGGCAGCAGATGCACCGCCGGCAGCTTCCTCTACTAAACTATCACTGGAAACAAATGACAGACTCAATGAGCAAAACTGAACTGTTAATAGCTTCACAAACTAAGCAAAGCTCCATTTTCATAACAAAATCTATACCTGTCAAAATAATAATATCGTAATGAATCCGCAAGAAGTTTTCCCAAATTTGTTTTGATAGAACTTCTCAATCCTTTTAATAAAGAAAGAAAATTGTCAAAACCCACAAGTACCATATAAGCAAAACATATAAACTCATAATTGAATTGTACAAAGACACTAATCAATCTTTGTTGTTAAATAACTACAATGCTATGCTTACCCACAAGAAATATTGAAGTTCCTTTGAGTTCTGAGGAAATATCTGCTGCTCTTTTCTAAATGAAAATTGAAACAGCTAAAGATAAAATCTTTCAATTATAATTAAATGGAGTAAAGAAAAAAAACAAGGAACTCGAGAATCAATCTTGTTTATAAAACATCTCACCTTTACTGCTAGAGAAGGGTCGACAACAACAGCCTTTTTTGCTGTACACAAAATAAAGGCACACTAATAGTTAACAAGCAAATACCAATACGCCATATAACCCATAGAAATAAACCCCAGTGACTAATGAAAAGTTGAAAACGATAAAAGCAAGAAGGAAGCAAGATATTTAAGTAAGTTAAAAGGGTTCTAGGAACTGACCGGAAGTGGTGGTTTCTTCAGGAAGCGAAAAAGTGGCGGTGGTGGTGGTGTTGAGTGATTTTTTAGGGAATGAAATGAAAGATGAAGGTCCATGAAACTGAGGCTTGTGTTCAATAAAATTAAGCGACGAATGAGAGAATTGGGCGCGAGTTCGAAGCAATCGTCTGGGTAATTGGAGTTTTGGATGGATTGTTGAATGAATTGTCCGTGGAGGTGGTTGTGGCGGTGGCGCAGCTGCTGCTACACTAGTTGCTGTCGTAATCTCCATAGAGGAGTTGGTTATCCGTTTTCTGATGAAAAATGTGATGATATTTTAAATTTTTAATGGTTCTTTTTTTTTATATATGGTTTACATTTGGGCTTTAATGAAAATGGGTTTGGGCCTTTAGCCTTTAATTTATATGAAATTGTACAGTGTTTTCAAAATTTGGTCAAAATACAGTGTTTTCAAAATTTAATGAAAATAAACTTTTATCCTGTTTGAATAATTAATATTCAATTCAGCCATTTTTTTATAATTTTTTATTTAAAAGTTCAGAATTTTCTGCATTTCAATTATTTTCACTAATAGAGTAACTCAAAATTTTTTTTCCTTTTTAAAAGATTATTTAATATGTTTTTGCAGCTGTAAATTATTAAAATGCAAGTGAAAATATGATATAATTGAAAATTTGAATACAAGTAGAGATAATTGGAAAATAAAAGTGAGGGTATCACAGTTATGAGATGTGTCTTTCAACAATAATGGAGATTTTAGGAGTACAGAGATGGTATTGCTGGATGAAAATGATAAATATAATATTTTATATTTTTATTATTTGCATAGCCAATTAAAAATAATGCTATCATTCAATATTTGTATGTAATTGTTTTTTTATATTTGTTATTATAGGAAAATTATATGCTATCACTTTAGGACTTAGTTCCTTTTGTTTAATGATGCAAAAACCTTTTATATAAAATGTCGATTTTAATTCAGCTCAAATTAATCTTTTTTTTCAAATATTTATACTGACAGTTCTGGATTTTTTAAATGAAAAATTAAGGATAAAGATGGTTAAATTTATAAGAATTTTATATTTTTTACTTTTAACATTTAAATATTACATTTAAATATTTTTAAATTTTAAACCTGTATATTAAAGGGTAAGTATCAGAATTAATCTTAAATTTAATTAAAAGCTTTCATTATACAAATTAATTTTTTAAAAAAACTAATTGAAATTGGAATTTAATTTCCACAAAATTTATATAAAAAAAAAAAACTTTAAAAAATCCGTGCTTTAACCTAGTGCTAGTTAACTATAATTTTAGCAGAAGGGACATGTACTAAACCTTCCTTTTCAATTACAAGAGTTTTCACTTATTTAAAAAAAATAAAAGCTGATTATATTATTTAAATCAATTCAATAACTAATAAAAGAGAGGACTATCTTTTGTGTGCAACAAAGGATATTTATTACTCAAGCTCATTCAACTTCCTGAAAGAAAGAAAGGAAAAACCAATGTCTAACTATGCTTGTTCAGTTAATGGCTAGTGCTGTGGGGCAATTCAAAACGGCAAATGAAACCAAAATACATCATGAAACAAACGCAATGGTTTGGTATGTTAAAGAAAAGAGATCAGATACTTATTCTGGTGACTAGACAAACACAAAATCCTTGATTAGGGATCTAGTGGGGACAATGTTAAAGACGACGACGTAGAACAAAAGAACAAAATTTCTTAATAGATGATATACAAGACTTAATATAATAATACACAATTATCTGGAGCTTAGTTCTCATCATAATCAATCACAGGATGAACAAAAATTGGGATGAGAAACTAAACAATGCATAAAACATTCTATTTACAGTGCCCAGCTTGAACATGAGGAGGCCCAAAAAGGAAACAAAAAAAAAAAAAAAAAATTTGCGTCAGGCAATCTTGTAAAAATCAGAGTTCATTCAATATTGCAACATATCAGCTCCCACCTGCATTTAGTGAACATGTACACAATCAGAACCAGAATAGATTGAATGACAACAAAGCAAGGTAACCTAAAGAAATTCACAGCTCTAGAAAGAAAAATATATCAATCTAACAGTTCCTTTAAAACATAATTTTTAAGTTAATTGTCAAGATCAAATGTCTACCCAACCACCCCCAAAACAAAATTTGAAAAAGGGCTGTTATCATCATATGGAAATTATATCAAAAATCATGCATGTTGATGCTGCTAAAACACAAGTGATGAGTGCCATCTATAGTGACAACAGATGTCAAAGACAAAATACGCATCACAGATAAAAGCTCCTAAACACAGTGCAATTCAACTAACAAGCTGTGGGTAGCCCCAATAAAGCCAATGTTATCCCCAATGGTGGCACAACCTGGACCTTCTGCATTTTCAATAGGTAAGCATCAGTTGTTCATGCAGAGTGGGTTTTAAATTGGGACAGTTGAACAAGTATGAAAAATGTCCTTTAATTTAAGTTGAAAATCAATAAAATCTTCTCTTTTTTTCCCTTCTTTTGCAAGATAATAATAGGACTTGATTAAGTGTTGTAAAAGCAATTCTCAACAGAAATGTGAACTCAAGATGTAGATGAAGGGGTCAGTTCAACCCTTAGTTATACAATAAGTGAAGATAGTTCAACACTAGAAAGTGGCAAATTCGATATCCATTTACCTCTAATTTGACCAGAATGATGAATCACTTCAGATATGATAGATGCTTGTCTGCTGTTTGCGAGGGAAATTGGTGTCAATGGTGGAGAATCAACTTCTTCAGGCTTATCTGGGATAGGCAACGACTCCACAGACTTGGAAACATGTACGCTCACTGCTCTCTGACTGCTGGAGGGTATTGAGAAACTCCGAGGGACAACCAAAGGTGGAATTGGCAGAGGTGATGCATAATTTGTAGCCGTTGAAGGATTCTTGTTCGTTCCATAATGCTCAGGATTTCTGACCAATGGAGCAGAATGACCAATTGATGCTAATGATTTTGTTGGTTTGGAAGGTAAAATACCCGGTGGCCTTGGAAGCTCATGAAGTTCACTTATTCTGGGTGAAGATGCAAGGGGAGGTGAAGCAGTTGGGGACACCTTTGGAGATGTACTCTGAGGAATTGTTACACGTGAAAGTGCTCCAGATACTTGTTGGGGAATGTCATTGGAGGAGATGGGACCACTGGCAGATAAAGCAGGCTTTGTTGACCACTGCTTACTAGTTATTGGACCAGAGAAAGATTGTCTTTTGATTTTTTTGTTATCAGAGGCACTATGCGTATCAAATTGTGGAAGTGAACTTCCTTCAATTAAAGGAAGGGGCAACTGGATGGAGGCACTGATACTGTTGCTCTCTTTATGTGCTGCACGTGCTTTTAAGACAGTAAACTCTGACAGTTGAGTGTCACCAGGATCTTTCTCATGCTTCTTCTGTTCCAATGGAGAAGAATGCCACATATTATGGGTGTGTGCACTGATGTCAGCTGGCCTTGTATTGGCAATTGAACCACCTGTCTTCGAAGAAATTGCTGTCTTTGTATCAGCCGGTGTGGGCAAGACGTATGTGTTGGACTTCCTCCCTGAGGATTGCATTTGTCTTATTCTTTCAACTGGATCAGGCTTTCTTTCAGGAAATATTGGTGCTGAATGGCTTCCTGGTCTAGGTTCTCTAAGTGGAACCTGAATACCCCCTTGGTTTTTATCTAAGTTAAACTGCAGGAAGATACAAATTTTAGTCGCCAAATAACTTGCACCAGACACCAAATCATAAATCTCAAAGCCGACAAATTGAAGGGGCAACAATCTTTACATAAGTCATTGTCATCTGCACCGAGGAGTTTCAAAAGCGAGCCCAGAAACGATGAGTCACCGTCCAGGTTTATTGGGAATTATCAATGACATTAATGATGTAACTTGCATGTTGATCCCCAGATTAGTTACGATAACTATTCCTAGTAAAATCATTAGGTTCAAATCTATTAATCAAAAGGAAAACAGAACTATACCTCTGCATTTTCTGTCATTGAAACTTGGGGAAATGAAAGGTCCACATCATCCACCTGGATAATACCCAACATGTTAAAACAAAAAACAAGTTGCAACAAGTGTAAGAAATAAATCAAAATATCCAATAACGCCCCATCATTAATCACAATTTCTGTAACTAGGAAGAGTTCAACTAGTGTGATTCCACCATTAGTGATGGACATATTCTTAAGAAAGAAATCCACAATATAATACACCTGTACACAGCATAAGAATAGCTGCTACTTCAAACAAGGAGTCCACCGCTTCAAATTCTTCTATTCATGCCCTTCTATAACAGAATTCAATATTTTCATTAACAATAGTATGCCTAACTATGCATTTACACCACCAAGATCCAGATAATTGTATACCCCATTTTGCTTCAAGTGAACCACCAAACTGCCCAAAACATGACCCATTTAAAAATGTTCATGGGCGAAGACCCAACAGGAGATTTCACAATATAGAAACATGCACTCTGCTTAACTAAACCTCAATCTGAAACTAACATAATCATATGAAGTAGTCATCTATCAAAATAAAACTATTGTATAAAAAGAAAACCCGCAATAATACTAATAATAATAACGACAACAAAAACACTAATAATATTTTGATAAATCTTTCCTTTATTAGCGGTGTATATTTTCTTACAGAAAGATGAAAGATGGACCAGCATATGACAACACAAGGAGAATGACGCAGGAGACGAATTTAGGGAAAATTAAACTCTCAACAATTAGGGCTAGAATAGGTTGATTGTGGTTGGAATAAGATAACATATCGGTCTCAAATAAACCTTTAGAATTAAAATACTGAATTCATAGATAAAAAAGCAATGCCTCAAATTAATTGATGCTATCCTATTTATATTAATTAGGACAAATCCTAATTCTATACTAAAAATATTCCTAATTAGCTAATTCTCCTAGACTGAATAGTATTCCTATTTAGCTAAATCCTAAATAAAGAAGGAAACTAAAAAAAAAAAAATTCTTAATTAGTCTTGGATGCTCCTGCACCATTCTCCTCAGGTTTGGAAAGAACTCGGCTTCGACGAGAAAAGTTTAGAGATTTCAGCCATGAGAATAGGATCATTTCGTGTAAACTTCTCCTTAGAATACCACGTGCTAAGGCTTTTGCAAGAGCAACCAACATCACAAGCCAGCCATTCAAATAATCCATCCCTTTTCCAAGCAAAAGCAAAGTTGGTTCAACAAAAAGACTCTTCCGTGTTTGCACTAGCCTTCTTGCTTGAAGATGTATTTCAACTTCATGGGTACTTGCATCATATAATCTGTTTTTGGCGATTTACTACCATTTGCTTGAAGATGTATTTCAACTTCATGGGTACTTGCATCATATAATCTGTTTTTGGCGATTTACTACCATCAATATCCACAAGCAAATACTGTTCTAAATAACAAAGATCTTCCTTTCCAACATCACAAGCCATTCAAATAATCCATTATTTTTCCAAGCAAGCAAAGTTGGTTCGACACAGATTTTTACTTATTCGCACTAGCCTTCTTGCTTGAAGATGTATTTCAACTTCATGGGTACTTGCATCATATAATCTGTTTTTGGCGATTTACTACCATCAATATCCACAAGCAAATACTGTTCTAAATAACAAAGATCTTCCTTTGTTTTTTCACCTTTGAAGTTCCAATCTTCTTGTTCTTCTATTTTAGGGGTAGTAAGAACATGTTGAATGACAATACTTTCTCCTAAGATAAGTACTATGTCAATTTCTTGTTCTTCCTCATCATAATACTCATCATAGATTGTTCTAAATAACAAAGATCTTCCTTTGTTTTTTCACCTTTGAAGTTCCAATCTTCTTGTTCTTCTATTTTAGGGGTAGTAAGAACATGTTGAATGACAATACTTTCTCCTAAGATAAGTACTATGTCAATTTCTTGTTCTTCCTCATCATAATACTCATCATAGATTGGTTCCACAAGGTCCTTGTTGGTGCCTTCACTATTTTGATCATCAAAACATGAAACTTCTTTCCCCTTTTCACTCTCCTTAGGGTCATCAACATCTATCAATGTTGTTATTCCCCAATCTAAAGAACTGCATGTAACTCCCCATGAAGATTAGCTACTTCAATCTTCATCCCTTCACCATTCAAATCAAGGGCGTCTAGTGACAACTCTTCCAATCCACTTTGTGCCGCTCGATTTGCTGGTCCAGCTTCATGAAAAGGGTTTACGTCCTTGACTTCATCAATCTCAAGATCCTCTTGAATCTTGAGTTGTTTGTGGTTGCCTTCCGGAATTTCCATTCAGGCTTCCACGGATTCCTGACACTGCAAGGCTTGTACAGCCCGGGTCAAATTCTTTTGACCATATCTCAACCATCTCTGTTTGTTGGGAGTGATTACCTCTACTTCGATCTCTTCCTCTACAAAACATGGTTTAGAACAAAACAATGCAACAATTTCGGATCTTTTTGCGCTCCGATACCACTTAACGCAGGGAAAGGATTTAGGGCAAATTAACTCTCAACAATTAGAGCTAGAATAGGTTGATTGTGGTTGGAACAAGATAACATATCGGTCTCAAAGAAACCTTTAGAATTAAAATTCTGAATTCATAAATAAAAAAACAATCCCCGAAACTAATTGTTGTTGTCCTATTTATATTAGTTAGGGCAACATAATTCTATACTGAAAAATATTCCTAATTAGCTAATACTAGCATTCCTATTAGCTAAACCCTAAATAAAGAAGGAAAACTAAAATTATTTCGTGATTAATTCACATGTTTTAATTTAATTAAGAATCTTAAATAAAGAAGGAAACTAAAAGAAAACTTAATTAGTCTTGGATGATCTTCCTTCGTTATTTAGGATTTAGCTAAATAAGAATACTATTCAGTCTAAGAGTATTAGCTAATTAGGAATATTTTCAGTATAGAATTAGGATATTGTCCTAACTAATATCAATAGGACAGCAACAATTAGTTTTGGGGATTGTTTTTTATCTATGAATTCAGAATTTTAATTCTAAAGGTTTCTTTGAAACCGATATGTTATCTTGTTCCAATCAAAATCATCATATTTTAGCCTAATTGTTGAGAATTAATTGCCCTATATTCTTCCCCTGCGTCAGAGAACTTGTTTTATCATTGTAATTCAGAGTGAATAGGATGAACTTCTTGTATATTCATTATGAACATTGCCCAATATATATGTACAAAAGGTGTTCCTAATCAAGAAAGAAAATCGAAGAATCTTTACAAATCTTCCTAGTTTCTATATGCAAATTAGTCGACTAATCTCTCAAGATTCTATTTCCATAACAAGCATTCAGCATTGATTTTCAGCTTCCAAAATCAATTCAAGGAAAAGGTTCAGATTGACTTAGAGCATCTCCAATGCTAATGTGGATTGCTCTTATTGAATTGCGACATAAGACAAATGGAAAGATTTTTTAAAAAATGTTCTCCAATGTTAATGTCTATTTGGCAAGTCAAGCTGAGGTATCAAAAAAATAAATAGACATTATCTAGCACACCTTCTATTTTTGGAGGGTCTATTAGACAATGTGGGTGTTTGTTGCTCTATAGTGATTGGTTGTATATTAAATTGTGGACCCGAAAAATGAAAGAAGAAAAAGGATGCTAGAGGATCTGAAAGTAGTGCATTGGAGAAAGATTTTTAAAATCTAACGTTTATAAATAAACATTCAGCCACATCCTCATCCGCACTTTCTATTTCATATGACACGTTAGCCACAATCCATATTAGCATTGGAGATGCTCTTAAAATTCACTGACCAACTGCAGAAGGCAAGCAATCCATTCGACACGGGAGTGTCTTGGGCTACCAAACTATATATAATTATAACAAATTTTAGTTTCTTTTTATTTTAATTAATGGAACTATAAGAAAGATGCTTAGGAGATTTGTAATTTCCTAATTTGGATTTTCTATATAAAAACAGTATAATAGCGTAGGATCTTTTATCATTCAAGAAAATTTATGATTTTTCCTATATAGGAGGATTCTACTTTCCTATATATTTTAGGGTGTAGTCTATAAATAGGGCAAAAGAGGTCTTTATGCAAGTAAATTTTCAATTGAGTTAAGAACTTTCTCTTTATTTTTCCCTCTCTCCATTTGGTGGATTTCCTCGAATGTCCAGTGCAGTTATATCTTGGATTGGTTTATCAACATACTGTCAAGTGGAACATCTGCAGTAAGGTTTCAATCTCCCCAAAATCAGATTATATTGTATCTAATAGTTCATTCTGCACTTTCTACATGTTTGTAATTCTACAGTTCTATACATTTGTTCTACACATTTTTCCTACTACAATCCTTCATTCGACAATTACATTTATTCTATAGCTCTGTTCATTCTAGAGTTCCATGGAGTCAAATTGATTTCAAGACATCAATTATTATGTCCTACATACCAATGTCAACAATATTGCTCAAGCCAATCCCAACCTAAACTCAAGGCCAACAATGCCTAAGGAACGCATATGTCAATAGAAGATCCTGGAGGCACTCTCGAACTATATTAATTGATGGATAGCTAATTCAAGAGAAATTTCATCCATCCACATAGTCCATTTACTTCAATAACAGGACAGACTATCTTTCTGCAAGATCAATACTAGAGATCCGGAAAGCTGCATGCTTAACTAAAAAAGACAACACCACCATGGTACAAGGAAAACTTTTATGACTAGAACATTATTCTTTACAACTAACATCAACCTGTGAAAATCTAGCCACCATATGGACATCCAAGCCAAAATCATTACTACACAAGCTTATGCAACAAGAATAAAACAAAATAGATGGTCTTTATCTGTATACATGATTAGAAAAAGATGGCAGTTGGTACAAACTTACAGACAGTGCATTCACAAGTTTGAATGATATAGATTATTATGCGTGACAAAAAACAAAAAAGCACAAGACAGTACTTCAAAGAAGTTTAGCATAGTAAATGATAAATAAACTAAGCATCACAGATCTTCTCATGTACCTAACATGTTTCCAAGTATCGTTAAATCCTCACCTCCATTGAATTCCTTGAGGCATAAACAAGGTCATGGCCCTGTTTATTTGCTCTATAGTCAAAACTCAGTTCTCTCCCTTCAGTTGTATCATCACCATTGTCATCATCTTCACCATCTTCCCTACCATCATCTTCAAGTCCACAGAACTGGTAATCAATATGCTGCTGTTCCGTGACAAATTTTACATGTTGATCAACTTCCTCAAGTGATTTAAGTCCCTTCCGAAAGAAATTCAACTGCATTTAAAGCAGAACAAGTAGCAAATTACATACGATTTATAATAAGCATCAAAGAACTTAAAAACCTCTAAGGAACATAAAGAAAACCTGAGCTGCATGGTGGCGAGCTGCCTGTGTTAGAAGACTTCGAGACTGCCCTTGTTTCAGAGATTTCAACCGAAAAACACACAAGGTTGCCTCTTCTTCATATTCATCGTGCGCTGCTTGGAGTTGCTGCAAAGTAAAACTTTCACCTTTACCACTCTTTGACTTTCCTTTTTCTTTCTGTTGGGTCACCATGTATTCATAGACATTTCTGAAAATCGCATACAAGATTCAGAAGAAGTTTTACTCTCATCAAATAAAAGCATAACTAGAAAGAAAAGATCAGACCTTTTTTCTTCACATTGTCGCTTCATATCCTGCACCAGAGAGCAAGAGAAACCTATTATACACATGACAAAATTATTTGATACAAGTGCATTCGATGTATCTAAATGATACAGAAGTGGCCTAAAACCTTCTTTGGCAAGGCAACAAATGCCACCTCTGCCATGAAGAGAAAAGGGAAAAACCTTGCTCACTGAATCTTTGAAACTCATACCCTGCTTAATCAAGATTTTACTCAAAATTCAATTTCTAACATATTGACAAGTACCACACTTGTTACTGACTACTGCCACACTAGTACAGCCTGTGACTGTGAGGCATTATGTTTAGAAGAGCACCCTTAAGTTGCTTTCTCATAAAAGTAGCTAGAAATTGGTTTTCAGCGGAAACATGCCAAAAACACCTCAGATAAATTTTTAATTCCTTTTCACCAAAATATTTTAGCGAGTACTTTTGTCAATACAGCAGCACTACAAGCAGGACTAAAAAAAAGAATATTAGTTGGACATGAACTATGGATAGAACAAACATAAAACAGTTACAAAGATTTCAAAATCCAAATGATCAATCAAGCACTTGCAAATCGCTCCGTCTCTGCTAAATTAGTTTAATAGCTATAACTGACGCACATCGATGGCCTTATGAGAAATGGTTTATGCAAACCTAGGTTCTGAAGCTCTTACTATAAAAATGGCTTATGAACACCTAGAACCAAGATTGTTCTAATGTGCAGAATCACCCTCTGATGTTGTTGTGTCAGATGAAAGATTTGCATGACCTTCTCATTGCATTGCAAAGAGGCTGTTACCATTGCAAAGAGGCTGTTACCATAGTTTGAACACTAGACTACAGTTCATAATGAAGCAGCCTTTCAACTGTACCAAGACTCACCTCCAAATTGCCATTTAGGAATTGTGATAAAAATGAGCCCAGGCCCTTTACGGTTTACTGAAGAAGGCCAAAGACTGCTGCTAATTTGGTGAGTGATCCAAGGAAACAGGGGAATAATTCAAGGAATGAGAATGTAACACCTGTCACAATCGGTTATGATGAGGGTATCACGCCAGTACAAGAAGGCAAGTGAGGAGAAGGCTGAGGATCTTTTTTTGGAAATAGTTTTGGACAGATTATTCTGTTGGAGCTAATTTTGGTGAGTGATCCAAAGCGAAACAGGGGAATAATTTCAAGGAATTGAGAATGTAACACCTGTCAACCAATCGGTTATGAATGAGGGTATCACCCAGTACAAGAAGGCAAGTGAGGAGAAGGCTGAGGAATTTTTTTTTGGAAATAGTCTTTTGGAACAGATTATTCTAAAGTTTGGAGAGCTGTAGCTCTTGGCTTGGTTTCCTTTGGAATCAAGATTTCTGAAATAGTTTTGGACAGATTATTCTGTTGGAGAGCTGTAGCTCTTGGCTTGGTTTCTTTGGAATCAAGATTTCTGTTATCTCTTGTATTTCTTTTCTCCACTTTAGACTACTGAGATTATTGTATTGACAATCCATTGTTATGGATTCAGTCCTATCAATCTAATACAATTTCTCTCTTCTTTCTTTACATTCTCTTCAGTTTTCTTGTTCTATTTCAGGCATTTAATTTACAGATATTGGAACTGTTCTTTACTTTATCAAATTGCAAGTAAAAAATTGCATATATTTTGACAGTTAAAAATTTTAAAAGACCAACCAGGAACAAAGGAACTCAATAAATTGTGACAAGATAAATTTTTTGCACATTTTTTTTGTCCTATAAATGTCAGGAGTAAATTAGGGATACCATAAAAGTTTTCAATGTGGCAAGTGGCAACCGCTGCTCATGAATGAATTTTAGAATGAATTCATTCATTGCAACCAAGGATAGGATATTACTAATAACTAAGACAAAAACATAGGCACACAAAGTTAGGAACATATGCACCTCCACAAGTGCATCATGCTTGTGCAATTATAGAAGGACCCCCCAAAAATCAATTGTGTAGAACAACAATATAAAGAGTTGTGGCAATGACTGCAACGACTATGAAAATGAGAACAACAGTAACAAATATAAGCAAAAAAACAGCCAAGTAAGGGAATAATGTAGGAAACCTCTGTTAAATGACAAACACCAGAGGGATTTGAAAGAGCAAACCTCAACTGTTCGGAGTTCATTGAGAAGAGACTCTGATGGATTTGTAATTGTCAAAAATATATGAGACCGCTGAAATAACAGAAACAGTAAATTAACACCAGGTTGAATTGAAGGCATTGTTTCATAATATTGTCAAAAGGCATGCTAAAATTAAAATGAAACGACTAGTACTCACGTAGCTATCAACAAGCTTTTGAAGTTCAAACTGCACTTTCCCCAACTTCAACAAAACTCTGCCTGTAGATAAAAATAGACAATCTTTGTAATTCATGCATAGATTCATATAATATCAATAAATAAAAAATGAGACTCAATTCTAAAACGAAACAAGGAAGAGAAATTGTACTCCCCCCCGGCACAAAAAACAAAAAAACAGAGGGAAAACATGCGCATTTCTCCCTGCAAAAAATGTTAGGAGTGCTTCAATTTCAATTTTCTACATCGGCATCCAAAAAGTTATTTTAGCCCCTCTGAATAAATTTTGGCCATTGTATTCAGGAAATTCGAACGCATACTAGCCAATATGGAAACTGTGGAAAGGAGAAATTCAAACGAACTAATTGACAATTACATTTTACTTGCTCATTCATGTGTCGTGTTATTGAAGACTATGCCATGAGCAAGTAAATTGAAGTGAATTCTCATAGTTGGTTTCTACCTCCCTTCACTCAACACCTCCACTTACTCACTAAATTGAATTCCAGGTGCCCCAAAGGTTTTGAAGTGTAAGGGGGTGGATTAACAAATTCGGTAAACACAAATTATCATGCAAAAGGAAAGCAGCTTATAAAACAAACCGGAGTGAACTATTACAGAGAGCTAATGGATTAGCAGAATATATGAAATTTGATACCCAGTATTACTACAATAATATGAAGCAACCTATTTTGTGCAATGAAAAAAAAAATACAATTACCTGCATCTATTTCATATAATTACTAAAATAAAAGCAACTTGACAACCCTCTTACACTATAACTTACCGCTTTCTTCATCATCATGTAATGCATTCTTCTCCAGGAGACAAGAACCCATTTCCCGCAGTGACTCTGAGAATTCTGTAGCGGAGATGAAATAAATTATATTGCAATACTATATCAAGTTTGAAAAGCTGTATGTGTAATGATCTTAGTTACACATGAAAATAAAATGGCCAATGCAAGATAGTGGATATTATAACTTAACCAGCTGCAACATTATAAACCCTGAAAAATAATAAATTTATTACTGGCATTGGCAACTTATAAAAACATAAGAACTCCCTGAAGTTCTGTAAGATAATATTCTAATTGGCGTTTCATAAACCATAAAACTACTTCAAAGGACCTTCCCAGTTAATTAGGTCCATCGCATTCCAGAGATTGGGAATGGTCTACTGTACACAGTCTTCCCTTGTATTCTCAAAGAGGCTGTTTCCACAGTCTGAACAATACTTCCTTCTATCTTCATTACACTTCAATATGGGCACAGCAGCCATGTAGAAGTACATACAATTACAGAAACTTAATTACTGATTGCATGTAATTATGGAAAGAGTCCTTAGAAAAAGCTGCTGAGGACACAGTAAATTCATTTGCATATTCTAAATTGTTTTATTATTGATTGAAAACCTACCAACAACTTTGTAACCCTAAAGGATATATAAAGTAAACCAAAAGGGACAAATGCTGAATTCTGCAAATTTCCAAGTTCTAATTGGAAAATAAAAATTAAAAAAAAAACCTGAAATGATCCAATGTCTAATATATAAAATCAAAAACTAAAGGAATAGGAAAGGAAGGAAATAGCCAAAAAAAAAGGGAGTTCACCTACCATATGCACTGTTTGCTGTTGCAGCCGCTGCAGAAAGTAAGCTATCATAGCAATTTCTCATGTCTTGCATGTCCTGTGTGGGGCAGAATCAAAGAAAATGTTTAATAATGATCCTTAACAAATGCCCAAATCGCATGCCAAACAAACAAAATTAGGAAACACAAAGTTCTCAATGTTGATTAATTGAGTGAGAGAATACAAATGCGAAATTATAGCAAGCAGCACAACTTTCTAACACAAACCCATTAAACTGCAAAAGACTGTAATGCCTAATTTCCCAGACTGCAAAAGAGTGAAATGACATATCAATCCCGTGCCAAAACTTCCAAACCCACTAGATTCCACAGAAAGATTGTGTATTACTTATAACTAAATCCCTGAGCTGATCCACTCTCCTTATAAGCACTTGACTCTCCCAATAACTTGTCAAAAGTGCACACCCTCAAGAAACCAAAATTAACCGCCACAAAAAAAAAAAAAAAAAAAATAATTAAACAAGAAACCAAAATTAACCGCCACAAAAAAAAAAAAAAAAAACAATAAATTAAACTAGAACACTCAAACAGCAAGTTAAATTTTTACTTATACTTAAAAAAAAAAAAAAAAAACAATAATTAAACTAGAAACACTCAACAGCAAGTAAATTTTTACTTATACTTAAATATCATTCAGCTGTAAGTTTGTAATCCATTACCTAATCACCTAACTTGAAATAATAACGTCAATTCAAAGTTCTAATTATTGAAATAAATAGAACTTCACAAGATGAATGAAACTCAATAAACCTTTCTTCTTCTTGATTTTTCTATTCGTTCCCCATATAACTATTTCCCAACTCCGGTTGGAAATAACAATAAATACTACCCAAATTCACTTTATAATTATCCGTTCCGACACAAAAAAAAAAAATCAATTGGATTAGAAATTAAGAGTAAAGGAAACAGTTAAAAAAGAGCTCAGAGAGAAAAAGAGAGCATTTAGCTTGAAAATTAAGATCAAAAGAGAAAAAAGAAAAGTACCTGGGAAGCTTGAGCGAGCTCATCCAACTGAGCCGAAGGTAAAAGGTCTCTTTTGTCCTTAGAATCGCTCTTGAGAAGCTTAAATCCTCGAAACTTACCTAACGGAGATTTCATTTCTCGAAAACCCTAACGCAATGAGCCAGAAGAACCACACCACCAGACCGACAGAGGCGCCGAGAGAAAGAGAGAATCAAAGTTCTCTGTTTGTTTCTCGCTCGGTGTGGAATCCAAATTCTTTGTGAATTAGGAGAGAAATTTGAAGTGTGAAATTGGGAAAACAGAGAGAGAGAGAGAGAGAGAGAGAGAGAGAGAGTGTGCAATTCAATTCGATGGTTTCAACGACATTGAAGAAACAAAGAAAGAACAAAAGCTTTTTGTTCGGGTCAAAAACGACTCGTAACAGATCAGAGAAAATAATAAAAATAAAATTAAAATAAATAGAGAGGAGAAGATGGAGAGGTGAGATTAAGAACTAGCAGGGATAAACTTTTTTAACGTCATTTGTTAAAGCGAGAAAACAGTCTATTATAAGTTGCCACGTGTTCTAATGATGGGTAATTTGGTAATCGTAGTTTTAAGGGGCAGTCTGACTTGGCAAGGGACATTGGCTTAAGCAATAGTTACACGTAGACAGTTGATGCCAGGGATGAGCAAACTTTAGATAAAAAAAACTAAAAACCAAACCGAATTAAATTATTTTTCAGTTTTTAATTTCGATTTGTAATCCTTCGTAATTTTGGTTCGATCTTGTTATTTTAAAATATTTATTTTAAAATAAAATCAAATCATTGGACCAAATTGAATATATCAATTTACTTCTATTTTCAGCTTTTACGGTTCAGTTCGAAATGGAACCGCTCGTTTACACATCCCTAGACTTGATGGATACTGAGACTGTCCCAAGGCGGTAGTCAAAGTCAGATATTGCTGACAAGGAAAGCAAGCTAAGAAGTGGTTCTAGAATTGGAAACAAATAACTATCTTTTACTTTGACTGATAATGAGGTTGGGTCAGATCTTCTATTTAAGTATTTTATTTATTTCCAATTATGCCCTTGCCAAACCTCCCCTTCTAAAAGGATTACCTTTTTTTTTTTTTACGTTAGAGGAGGGAGATTGTCTATACACTTGATCCTTAAAATACGCCTTGATGTATTTTCTCATGAACCTTTCAATATAAAAAATCAAATGACGTACTGTTATAAACCATCTAAAAAAAAATAATATTTTTTAATAGTTCTCAACTTTTCATAAATGGGTAAACTTGAAAACTCTTGTAAATTAAAGAAATTTGAATTTAATTATTTTTTAAGAAAGATATTTTATATTAATGAAAAGACTAATAACATATAATTGACAGATGTTATGAATTTTTACTCTTAAAAAAATAATAATAATACATAACATTTTTTGATTAATTTTTGACATGTTTATATGGATTAAGTCAATTAGTCCATCATAAATATTTAAACTTTCATATAAAATTATTATCACTTATAAATGTCATTTTGCAACGTAAAAATATGAATATTAATATTTGCAATTAATATTAAATGTACGCTAGACTGATAACTTAATTATGAATGACTTGTCAATGAAGTTTTAGCCGAAATGGTTAAGAAAGAGTATTCGCGAAGCTTTGGGTTTATTGTACCAAAAAAAAAAAAAAAAAAACTATTCTGCCCACATTTAATATTAAATGTTACGCTTTAGGACTGATTAAATCTTAATTATGGAATGACTTGTCCAATGAAGTTTTAGCGAAATGGGTTAAGAAAGAGTTATTCGCGAAGGCTCTTATGGGTTTATCTGTCACAAAAAAAAAAAAAAAAAGGTTTATGGGGTTGTTATCCCCCTTCCACCCGGATCATTTACTATACTAATTTATTGTAATTATCTATTAATTTGACTTTTTTTTTATTGGTTAAAAAGAGTGGTAATCGCCCACTAAAAAATAACACGATAAACTCCACCATAATAAGTAATATACGCATTCCTCTTTATTTTGGTGGTTAGTTCCGGAAAGGGAACTCAAAAAGTTTCAGCACTAAAAACTAGTCTTATTACATTAGTGAAAAAACTAATTGAATTACATATGATCTAAACCACTGTTGCCCAAAAAAAAAAAAAAAAAAAGGTTATGGGTTTATCCCTTCCCACGATCATTTTATATACTAATTATTGTATTTCTATAATTTGATTTTTTTTTATTGGTAAAAAGATGTAATGCACTAAAAATAACACGATAAACTACATAATAAGAATAGCATTCCTTTTATTTTGTGTAGTCGAAAGAACTCAAATTTCAGATCTAAAAAGTCTTTACATTAGTGAAAAAATTAATTAGATTACATATGATTAACACTTTTGCAATTTAATTTGTAAGCTACTTGTAACAAAGTTATCGTTGTTTTTATACTGTATTCTAAATGGAATGAAAGAAGTATATAATAATATTATAAAAATATTGTGAGTATATGTAATTTGATTTGTAATATGCTTTTAATAGGCTTGACATTTATTTATATTCTATTCTAAATGGGTGTAAGGATATACAAACATAGTAACTATTATAAAAGAAAATTTATGAATAACTCAAATTGGGATGAGCATACATGGAAGAGGAAATCTTAGTTAAATATTTAGCTATTTTAAGAGTTGAGCCACTATGTTTGAACAAATATATCATGATATGTAAATATGTTGTGTCATCCACATATTTTAGGTAAAAATTTTATGGCGCACCCTCAGCTTTTACTATCTCTGTTTTATAATACTCGTCTGACATTTGAGAAAATAGTTTATATAAAAATATTTGTCACATTTGTAATTTCAAGGAGTAATGAATATTTTTTTTTTCATATTTACTTTTTGTATATGATCAATAATTATTACTTCAATTTAATGATATTTTCAAAGAAGTAGCATTAAATTAAGGTAATATAGTTAATTTACTTAATAATTTATTTTAACTTAGACAAATTTAATAGTTCTTTTAAAGGACGTGAAATTTCAAGTGTGACAAGTATTATGGAATAAAGATAGTAGTTTAATATATTTAAATGTTCAACTTATACTTATATCTATTAAACACTTTAACTTGTAACTTTTTTTCTATTGTCATATCGATTAAACAATTATTGAATAGTTAAAAGTGTGACAATTATTATTATAAAAGTCGTGGCAATTACACAGCAAATGAACATTTGCATATAAAAGCTAAAAAAATTTAATATTATTGGTGTTGAAAGTGTGTAACAAAATTCATAACTTTAAATGCACAGTAGGTTCTCTATAAAATTTAAGTATCATAAATTTTATTTCAAAAAGTATAAAAGTGAATTTTTATATTTCAACACATGTTTATTGAAAAATATGTATATTATTATTATTTTTTTGTATAAATTATCGGTATCTAGACCCTATTACTAGAGATCGCCTAATTTAGTTTGGAGTTTAGTCACAAATAAATCTATTGCCCCTCCTTGAAGACATGTTTAGTATGGGTCACGGAGTGAGCTTTGTCATATATCCATATTACCAACTTGTCTGAGGTCAGTACGGATAAACATATTCAAAATTTATAGTGTATGGTTGGAATCGAATATTGGACATTTAACTAATTATATTTTTCAGTAAAAAACATGCATATTTGAAAAAATAAATTGATTCAAAGTTTAATTCTAAAATCATGACACATACAATAATATAATAAATCAAAACATATTGGAAGGGACAAAACTAGAAGTTTTCTTTCTTTACTGTTTGTGATGTAATAATACCTATACACAAGTAGCTTAATTTTTCAGCAAACGTTAATTCATATGACAAATTTGACCTTTATATTGAGATGGTATTTACCAGACGATATATTGGACTGTGTTCTATTCTAATAATACACGTATGCAATTTGAAAAATTAGGGTCTTAAAAGTTCAATTCTACCCACTTCACATGCATTTACATTAATTGGGTCATTATCATTTTTTTCTTACATTAAAATCATTACCTTTAAATTTAGGATATTGACTAATGAAATGTCATATATTAGACCATGGTCCACTATTTTAAGGTATTATTTATTTATTTTGATTTTGAAACAATGTTATTAAAACGCGTGGAATTTGAATCTTGTATTAAAATTACAATATTTAAGTATGGTAATATCCCGCCTAAATTAAAGGAATCAATTTTTGATGATGTTTATAGTGTAGTTTGACTCTAGATTGTGTATTTAGAATCGGATTATAATATAAAGAGGAGTCAGTACCTTTAATTTAATTGTACAATTAATCGAAATAAGAATATTGAAATCGACCATATCTTTTCTTTCTTTTTTTTTCTAATTGACTAAAAAGAAAAAAGAAGGGGAAAAAAAAATTCATCGTTGCAAATGTTAAAGATTTGCTGCATGCCCTTGTGCAAATAATAAATCATCAGGCAACTTTTGCAATCAATTTTCTTGTGTCTTGAGTAGGAGATGAAGCAGAATTATGACATCTGGCAGAGCCATTGAAAAAATTTTTCATTCCTACTGATCCTCCTCTTTGCATCACTTCTCTTAATCCTCTGAATCCTCTTCCCTTTCTCACCCCTCTTTTCGACAGTGAAGTCTCCGGTCCCTTAGCTGATTGGTCCTCATCACCTTCACGATCTGCAAAAGCACAGCCAACCATATATATGTTAAATTAGATTACGTAATGTTGCTAATTAGCTAAGTAATTAATAGAAGAAGAAATCACCTTCAAAAGGGAATTGTTCCCTGTCGACATATACTCGGAAACTAGGGGATCCTTGAGAATGTAATATACTTGCACATTCGTCTGCATCGCTTGGCCTTACAAATTCATCTTCGTTTTGCTTTCCCGATATTTCTTTACTCATTCTCAGAGACGAAGAAAAGCTACTTTTCCGGCCATGATGATCATTGACCGTAGGCTCTATATCTCTATCCACTCCTCTTTCCTTCTCATTTGAACCAATAACCCGTCTCAAGAATCCGCCGCCTTCACTTGTCGCGGAAGAAGTACTCTTTCGATGCTTACTATTTAAGGAGTCAGTATCATCTTTATAATCGCTTCTTCGACCAAAGGATTTGATTTGAAGAACATGCCCCGCCTCTTCAAGGGTATACCTAGAAATGCCACAACCCATGAAGAAAGGAGGGCATGCAAAAGAGAGGATTCCTTAAGATTCAAAAACGGAGGTGACGAACAAGTATTTACAGGAATATGAAGAAGGAAAGGGAGAGTTAATTAATTAATTAATTAATTATTAACCCTAGTTAATTAAGGCCTCTCCCTTTCTTTTCTTGTTGTTCAAATGAATTGGAGATGACAATAGCTCTTTTTTATTTATCAAGAGAATGAGAGATCAAACAAAGATTACGGAATTTTGTTTTTATTTTTCAATAATGAGTGATCGATAGGTTTCAATTTCGCTGTCATTTCATGAATTGGTTACAGTTAAAGCCGTTACCAATTACCAATTCACTGGTTTCATTTCTTTTATATATATTCACTTTTAAATCAGAATTTTAATAAATTTTATGAAAGGTAACATTGATGACAGATGGAATGAAAAAAAAAAAAAAAAGTTTTATTCCCAATTACGATGAGTGACTCGATTAGGTTTCCAAATTTCCCGCTGTCCTTTCATGGAATTGGGTTACAGTTTAAAAAAGCCAGTTACAGATTAGTCCCAATTCACCTGGTTTCATTTCTTTTTATATTTATTTTCACTTTTTTAAATCAGAATTTTTAATAAATACTGAAATGGGTAACATTTGATACAGATGGAGGGATGCAACAAAAAAAAAAAAAAGATAAACATATGTGGGTTATCTAACAGATCTTCTTTCCTCCGTTTTTTCTTTCATAATTTTTTTTCTTCATTATATGAATTTTCGATTTTACAAAAATATATTATCATTTTTGTTATGGGAATTCAAAACTAATTAAATCTTAATAAATAACCATTGATGAATCTTAAGTAGTTTTTTAATAAAAATATAGTGAGAAGTTAGTTTCGACAGTTAAAACTTAAAAGATATTAGAACTTTATCATGTTGATCCATTCAACTGTTGAATTCCTCCACTATAGTAGAAAAAAAAAAAAAAAAAAGTAAACATATGTGGTTATCTAACAGATCTTCTTCCTCTTTTTTTCTTTCATAATTTTTTTCTTTCATATATGATTTTCGATTTAACAAAATATATATATTTTTGTTATGAATTCAAATAATTAATCATAATAATAACATGAGAATCTTAAGTAGTTTTTAATAAAAATTGTATTGAAGTTAGTTTCGACAGTTAAACTTTTAAAGATATAGACTTTATCATGTTTGATTTCCATTCAACCTTTGAATTCCCATATAGTAGAGATTCCATTTTCCCATATATACAGAAAATAACTTCCTTAGGAAGATTTTTTTTTTTTTCTGGTAACGAGAAGATAAATTTTAAATCGAGCCTAGCGATTTACTACTTCGCCAAATAATATACAACTTTTGTTCACCAAAGCATAGTTTAGTGGTAAGTGTACATACAAATTTGATAATAAATCTAGGTTTGAATCTTACTATCCGTTACTCAAAAAATAAATGTATATTATTTTTAATATCATTTTTCATATTAACTTCACATAATCAACATATCAATCAAAAACATTTAAACCATAATTTTTGAGAAATAATTTCTTTAAAAATATATCATTTTCAATCAAATCGAGGACAAAAATTTCTCTTTTTTATTAATTATTAATATCGAGTTAGATTACATTTGATAAAAAAAATCATTTATACAAGTAAAAATGCATATAAAAATAAAATTCAGCTAAAATTTTTCTTTCTGAAGAAACTCCATCTTATTCTTGTTAGCAAATTTTCAAAATATTAAAAAAAAAAAAGAAAAAAAAAGAAAAACGATATGGACAAAATGAGAATGACTTTCTCCCTTCGTTTGGCTTCAAGTGACTTTTAAGATTTTGGAACAAAAACTAAAATGATTACAGAGCCTCATTTTTATAAAAACGTCATTTATAATTAACTAAAATGCCTTTATATATAATAAGAATTTATTAAACATTTCAAATTGATTACAAATGCTTTGGAATAATACAAGAGCAAAAGGGGAAAAAAATATTTAATATGTCTTTAATTTCCGAAAACATCACTTAAAATGGAACAAAATTTTTTTCTAATCACAATTTGAAATAAAATGGAGGAAGTATCAATTTTATCTATTAAACTCCGTGTCTCAAAATAATTACATTATTCTTGAAGAAGTAAAAAACAAAAAGGAAGAAAGTGTTTGAGAAGAGATGGAGTCCTCTCATCTGGTTCTCTCTCCTTTGCCAATTGATGTGTCAGTCCCGGTGGAGCAACCATCAAGTGTCGTGCCTCTTTCTTTTCATGATTGCCTTCTTTCTCAGTCTTCTTAGGCATTGAAGAAGCCTTTTGTTATGAAAAGTTTTGATTTTCATTTAGGAGATACCTATGCTAGTAGGATTCATTTGGAATATGAAAATGCGGACCCTTTGAATCCAAAAGTTGTGGTTGATTCGGAGGTAATTCAAGAACTTAATGAGCAATGGATTGATTCTTTGATTGTGAAGGTCTATGGTAAATCGGTTAGCTATACCTATTTAGTTAATCGCTTGATTTTATTATGGAAGCTAGGTGCACGTTTGGATATAATTGACTTAGATTATGGTTTTTATTTAACTAAGTTTAAAGATAAAGAGGAAATGTTACGTATTATTTCTGAAGGTCCTTATTTGATTGACAGTCAGCCTCTTTATATTTAAAAGTGGAAACCTGAATTTCAGCCTTCGACAACATTTATTTCTTTTATGGTTATAGGTGAGGTTGATTGAATTCCCTATGGACTTTTATTGTGATGAACTTCTTTTTGCTTTTGCTAGTGCAATAGGGACCCCGGTTAAGATTGATAGGCAAACGGCTTTGGCTACACATGGCAGATTTGCTAGAGTGTGTGTTGAATTAGATTTATCCCGTCCTTTGATTCCAAGAGTTTTTGTTGGTGGTATTTGAAGGAGGGTTGAGTATGAAGGCATTGTAGGGCTGTGTTCCTCCTGTGGTAGGGTTGGTCATCGGCCAGAAGTTTGCTCAGAGTCTGCTGGGTAGGAGATTGAGGTTGTTAAGGAGTCTTCTCATCCTCTAAATATGGCTATAAGTGAATTTGTTTTGAATTCAAATGCGGAAACTGAGAATTTTGGGCCTTGGATGGTGGCTCAGCAAAAGCCAAGATGTAAATTTAAAAATAAAGATTTAGGTGTGGATAAGCCTTCGTCTCATTCGGTTGGGGTGAGAGCCAATCGCTTTGCTTCCTTGGATAAGGAGAGTCAAGTGGTGAAATCTGCTATGGGTCATTTGGGCTCTAATGGGCCTGCAATGGTGAAGCATCAAACTAGGAGGATGTTAATAAAGGGAAGGATGCTGTTGTGGATCTAAGTAAAGGTTTGGGTCTAGGCCTGTTTGTTCTAAAAGATGGGCCTTCAGTGCATCGGTGAGATATTATTCCTTAAATAGGGTCTATTCAGGGTGTGGGTCGATCTGTGACTTGTCCACCTAGTGAACCTTCAGGCATGTTACTGGAGCCAGTTAATGGGTCTCAATTGCTAGTGGACAAAGGGGATAAGGCAAGTGATGTTGTTGGACATGGTTCTATTACGAATAGGACCCTCTAGGCATCACGTGATGTTACTTTGGGTGTTGACTTGGCAAAGTCCACTGCGCCTCCTTCTGTGGTGCGGGTTTGAATATGGTTAAGTATGGGTCTCATAATCAGGTCCTGCAGTGTGTTGACAAGTTGAAAGATCTTAACCTGCCTGACCCACTAGTCATTACTGGGTTTTCTTCGATTCTGCAAGCGTAGTTTGTTAGCATTGGTGGGGTTGGTGCTGACTATGTGGCATAATGTTCTTCTTCTAGTGACAATAATGAAGAGCGGTGTTCTGGTGGTGTTGCGGCTGGAGGTACTATGTGGGTAGAAGGCTAATCTGGCCAAATATCACATTTTCTTCTCCAAGACGGTCTCTCGCCCTATGCGGCATAAGCTCCAACAGTTACTGGATGTGACAGTTACCTCAAATTTAGGCAAATATCTGGAGGTTCCTTTACTTCATAGGCGGTATTCTGTGGTGCTGTGTCAAGACATTATTTAGAAGGTGGAGATTCGTTTGGCGAATTGAAGGTCCCGTTTGCTTAGTCTTGCCGGTAAGGAAGTTCTTATTAAATCTTTTGTTTCTTCTTTACCTGTTTATATTATGCAAACTATGTGGTTACCTTCTTCTTCTTATTGATAAGTTGTCTCGTAATTTTTATTGGAGGTCTACGGTTGAGCATCATAAGATGCATTTGGTTGGTTGAAATTAGCTTATTAAGCCTAAAAAGTTTAGGGGTTTGGATTTACGGAGTGCCCGGTTGTTTAATGTTGCTATGTTGGGTAAGTTGGGTTGGAAGGTTTTAATGCATGACACTGCTCTTTAGGTTCAGGTTTTGACTCATGAATATTGTCATGGTTGCTCTTTTCCTCCGGTCTTGTGAGGTTGTGACTCTTGTACTTGGAAGGGGATTAAGCAAAAAACAGTTAGGGGGTATATGGATTTTTACGGAGTGCCCGGTTGGTTTAATGGTTGGGGCTATGGTTGGGTCGTAAGTTGGGGGTTGGAAGGTTTTAATGGCATGACACTGGCCTAGGTTCAGGTTGACTCTCATGATATTGTTCATGGGGTTTGCTCTTTTTCCTCCCCGGTCTTGGAGGTTGTGAACTCTATGTTACTTGGGCAAGCGGATTGGTTCGTTACGTTCGCCAGCTAGCTTTCAGTCTCAATGGTTTCTTGGCTTGGGTAAGTGGGGTGGGTTCAACAATCATATTTATTGGTTTATGATTCTTGGTGCCTATGGTACCTTTGGGTGGGTTTTGGATTCAGGGGGGTCTATTTTTCGAGCGGTAATCCGTGCTGGAGCATCTTAGAGGGGTCTGTTTTTTGCCTATGGTGTAGGATTCCTTATTCATAACGGTTCTGGGATCTTTATGGTTTACGGCTATTTGTCTATCTGCCTGATGATATTTATAGTCCTTAACTTTATGCAGTTCTTCTTCCATTGATTGCTTTGTTCATGATTCCCATTTTTGGTGAAATTTGTCGTCTTTAATGGTGAGGTTTTCTGGTGTAAAGTACCCTATTATCTTATTATTGTAGCGCAGAGTGCATCGTTTGTATTGATTTTTGTTTTCTTTTCTCATATGATTGGTTTTGGCATTGATTGGTGCTGGCATCTAAACATTTAGAATTTTTTGCTACATTTGCCATAGCCGTTTGCCGATAATTTTTACTGTTTCAAAGAGGTTATGACTGCTTTTTCTAGTCTATGTAGTATTACCTAGTTTCTAAAGGATAAAGGGAGGCCTCTATGGTATTTCTTTTTTCGCGAATTAATGCTTGCGGTGCAGGCCACTGACTCGGTGGAAGCAGTAACAACACGTGAAGTCTTGCCTCCTAAATTTTTTTTGGGCGTGGCAATGATATCGTGGATTGTGCGGCGTGCGTTTGTAAATTTATCCTTGCGACATTGCTTTTCGGTATTCTTCTCAACCATCAACTTGATTTTCGTATACGCTGCATATTTGGGTGATTCTTGAAAAGCGAAGAGGAACTTGAGTATTTGATTTTACAGAAGTGATACTTTAATTTGATGGCTCTGCTTTTTTAAATTCGTTTGTGTTTTTTTAAAATAGTAGGTCTTTGGATATTCTATGAACTCTTTCAACTCCTTGTCCTCGTTGGTTCGGCGCCTACGAGTGAGTAGGGCGAGCCCCATTTGGTTATGGCGTCCCCGGTTAAAGCTCAAGAGGGGATTGGGTGAAGGTTAAATTGGTTTTGATGGCCCAGTAGTGAAACCAAACCTCCAAATTTTTTATTTTTCAATGCATTTTTCCAATTTCAATTAACTAATCCCCGATTAGCTTGAAAGTGTGTCCACATTATTTAAATGCACACTCTCTCACTAATCGCTTTGCTAACAGGAAAAGCTGAAACAGAAGAAACCGTTTGAAAATCCAAAAAATATAAATCTGAAAGACAACCGATTTTGGGCTGGAATCCACACCGGCAATCCGAAGCCAAATCCGAACCAGCGCCCAAAACCATCTAGAAAACATATTTCATTCCTTTTTATCTCACACTTCGCCCTCACCCCTCTCTGCCGTACCCTTCCACAGTCCACTAGCGAACACCCCACCTGCGCCACCTCCTTTCTCCGTTCCCATCTCCTCCCTTCCTTGTTCTTTTCTTTTCTTTCTTTCTTTTTCCTTTCTGGGCGTTTCTGGGCTCTTGGCGGGCGGACACCCCAAAACTTGAGGCGGAGCCAGCCCAGAGTCGGCACGTCACGGCCACTCCGCCACCCGCCCTTGCCTTGCAGGCTCGGACATCCGCCCAGACAGGCTCCGCCAGCAGTCCTCTTTCATTCCCTCCGGCCAGATCGCCCGCAGGCGCCAGCACCTCCAGTCCTTCCCCCTGTCCGATCGAAAAGCTCCCTCCAGCTGTCGTGCCACACTGACGCCTTGCCAAGCCGCGCCAACAGGCTCCGCCGCTGCTCCAGCGAAGCCTCCGATCACCGGTACACGGGCTCCGGTTAAGCTTCATCTGGCGCCCTCCCTCTGCCCACTGTCATTTCCGACTCCGGGCCACCAGCTCACCCTTCTCTCCCGATCCCGGCTTCACCGCGGAATCCGAATTCTAGGTGAAATTATCGACAAAAAAAAATTATTATTTGTTGATCCCCGATCTAGTGAAATTCGACAAAAAAATTATATTTTGGGTAATTTTAGTTAATTTAATTTGAATGAATTTAGTTAATTAAATTAATTTTAGTAATCTTGATTAGTTAATTTGCTTTATCAATTTTGATTAGTTAAATTAATTTAATAAATTGTTAGGAAATTATGATTTATGGAATTAAAGAAAAATGTATGAATTAATGTTGATATTGAATTAATGTTGATATGGAGAATGTGGAGGACGGGATTAATTGACTAGATTGATTTGCCCGATGGATGGGCCGTGAGAACCTGAAAAAAATAATTGAATGAGATGATTGGTGGATAGTTAAATTTTAGGGGAAGTGTTGCCGAAATTTCTGTAGAAAAATAAAATTATTTATAGAAATTAAATATATATATAAAACTATTAGAGTGATAAATAAATATTTTGTCTGATATAATTATCATCTTAAATTTTGTAGATCGCCAGGGTACGTCTAGTGCTCCTCCCGGACAGAATCAAAGCTAGATCTTCGTTCTCCACAAGTAATAGTAAATAATGCATATCAGCACTGCATTGCATAACTGTTATTTATAAACTTATATTATGCCACTATTACTACATACTTATATTTTTACGATTGCACTTCTGAATGATTGTGGTGTAATACATTGACTGAACGATTGCACCTTTCTATCTATCTGATTGTTTGGTTGTAAGACCCTACACTCTGACTGATACTGATTGATTACTTCACCGCCGCGTTACCATGATTGATTACTTGTGATATGATTATACTGTGCTCTATTTGTGTGGAATTGGGATGAAGTGGGTCACCATGGGTTTGTGAGACTGTTTCTGTTATAAGGATCCTGAGAATACTGTTACCGTTATTGATTGCTGTTAGCCGGATAAAAGGGAGATCGGCACTTCCGTGTGCACCTGATTATACTGATTATATAGAAACCACAGGTTGGCCTCCTGTTGTGAGCGCCTGATGATCTAGATTAGATGGAGACCACCGAATTGCCAGAGACTGGAAAAATACTGAGAGGACTGGTCGTGTGAGGATTATACCGGTAAGCCAGAATGGGGGATTGGCTCCCTGGTGCACACGTGAGTGGATGGGCCATGTGATAGGACGGCTCATCGGGGGTTTTGGTGACGCCACTGACTAATTTCCACGTGATGTGATTATCTGAAGGTAATATTATTTGTGGGTGCTGATATGATGTGTGGGTGCTGATATGATGCCATCTGACTGACTGTCGTGTGTTCATTCAGTATACTAGGGTGCATTTGTGTGATTGTTTATGGTGTATATTATTTATTGTTATTCATTAAGTTGCAAAACTCACCCCCCTCCACCCAACCTCTTAGGTAGTAGAAAACTGTTGGCTCGACTGAAGCTCTGCAATCTTCCCCGCAGAGTTATAAATGTGACCGCAGAGTTATAAATGTGAAGATCTTTAAATTTGCTATTTAAATTGGATTGTATAACTGATTCTACATTTCAAGTTATTGATGAACTCCGCAGTTATAGGGTTGTGTATTGTAAATTGGGCCTTACCGTATGCATCACTCTATAAATATTTTATTGTATAATTAACCGTAGGTGAATCAGTATGCCCATGTTGCGAAAATGATTTATCGTGATTAGGCCCAGATTAAATTTTACTAGTTAGTTGAGATTGGGCCGGATTGTTTAATATTTATATCCTTGGTTATATGGGCTTACTGTTCCTATTAAACTGTGTAGCATGTATAAGTTGAACAATTTAGGCTTACGACGGGCATCGGGGGCCTTAAGCTTACTTGGGCCCTAGTGCCAGTCTGGCCCACGGAAATAGGTCGTGACAAGTAGTCTTACTAATCCAGGGTTGACTAGAAGTAGTGTGTTCCGTAATTGCTGGGGGAGGTGGCTTGGAGGCTATTCTCTTAAATATTAGTCACTCTACTATTTTAGTTGGTGAGTTGTCCTCTATTCGGAGATGCCTTACTTGCTTGGGACCGTGGTTTCCGTAATGTTGTTCTTGAGTCTAATTGTTTGGAGGCTTTTAGGCTGGTGAACTGAGGGTTATCTATTGCTCATCCTTTGGCTATTCTTATTTTGGATATTTAGAGCTTAATGACTCGTGATTGGGAGTGTTTTATCCATCATATGTTTCAGGAAGTTAATTCTAGGCTGATCATTTGGCCAATTTGGGACATGCCATCCCTTCTTCTTTATTCATTTGGAAAGCTAGTCCTAGTTCCTTATCCTTAGTTTTTTAGGTTGATGTTTGTAGCATTGGCTTTTTGAGATAGGTTTTTGCTTTTTGTTCTGCTCTTCTTTCGCCACTAAGGTTTTTTGCTTTTTTGTTCTGCTCTTCTTTCGCCACAGAAAAAAATAATAATGAAAAATTAAATTAATTAATTTTTGGAATTATAATTATTCCTTACTAGTTAAATCAATGTATATATTGTCAATAACACCCTTTAAATAATTTATAATTTTATGCCATTTCTTTTTAAAGGATAAATTTGATAAACTAATAGAAAATATAAAAGATTTTTCTTAATTCTCGTGGGAAAGTGAAATGGGTGTATTATTATGGCCCTGATAGTATGAGATTTGTATTCTAGGGAAAATTTTAGGTAGTGCTGTTCATGGATCAAAATAACGAGAATAAAATTTTTTATTAAAATCAGAATATGTTTAACCATAAATTGAAAAAAAAAAAAGTAGGAACACTTTGTAAAGAATGTTTACTGTAGTTAATTTTGTCGATAAACGCGACAATAACCCGGTCTTATATTCCATCAGCGGAGGAAACGGAACATGCCAAACGACAACGTTTTCAACTAGCGTGCACTTCCTCCTAGCTCTACTTCTAGGTTACAATTCGCTTTTCTCTTTCGTGGAAAGAGCAGTCCACAATCACTCAAACAGACTCCATACACTCAAACAGACTCCATACGCTGAAAGAGAAGAACTCGCACAGAAGACGAGAGAGAACAAATATGGATAGGGGCATTCTGGGGAGAGAGAACAAATATGGTAGGGGCATTCTGGGGAACAAGAGTAATGGAGATAGTGAAGAAGCACGACTCGGGAGGTCTAGTGTGGAAAAGAATAAAACTCACTACTACCCGTAAAGCCAACGCCAAGAAGCGACTCCTTAGGGTCTGGCAGGTATCTTTCTATCTTTCAACCTATTATTTATTAGAAATTGCATTTTTTACTTATCTATTGCCAGGTTCGATATGAATTGGAATTTTGTTTTTGGTATAACTTTAAGCTTTATGCAATTTTAAGATAGCTATTGTTAGGCATTCAATTACTCATGTGTTTGGTATCTTTAACAATTGTGGTCAAGGGTAAATTTTTAGGAGAAAATTTTTCTGGGTGTTGGGTTTTATGTTCAGATTGGTACTTTGTCATTAAACTTCAGGATTGAAGTGGGAATAATGGTTTTTTTTTTTCTGTGTACTTGTAATTATGCCCTTCTTATTGACAATACACTGACGCGTCCACAGTCACACGGTGAAGGTGTAGTGATAGACATTTGTATGGGTCAGTTAGCGTTCTCATGCTTTTGGTCTAGAAAGCTTTTTTTTTTTTTTGAGTGTGAATATCCCGTTGCCGACGTTGTCTGAGAAAACTTCTGGATTCTATATATATTTTCCATGGATTCTTCGTACTTTTCACATTTTCCTTCATAATGTAGCCTTTCCCTTCCTTTTGTACTTCAGTGTTCTCTTTTGTAGTTTTTACACTAAAAAACTATGCATTAAATGTTGTTTACGGTAAAGGGAAAAAATAGTTGAAGAGGTCATTTTAGACTTCATGCTTTGCATTGTGAGGGTCTATGGAATGCTCAGTTGCGTGGATTGCCTTTTGGCAATTCCAAGGTGTTGTTTTCAAGATTAAGGTTTTGGCACTTGAAGTGATATACAAACTCATTGCAATTGATAATGGCGTGAACTTTTGCTTGTCTCCATTTACATGTATTTTGGCTTTGGGATGGAGAGAAATAGATGGGGCCAGCAGGTGAGAACTTTCTCAGTTTGTAGTTATTACTGTTGTATTGTTGTAGGGGACGGTTAATATATTTTTCATGTTCATTGTTTGTATTCAATTTGTGTGGATTTAACGTATTATTGTGGCTTTTTGTACATGTGATGCATTCCTTTGTTGTGGCCCTTTTCAAAATTTCCTTCTATATAACAGTTAAAAATAGAGGATTTTCCTTGTGTATAAAAAAGTAAATAGGAGGTAAAACATTGGAGAATTTATGGAGGACATGGAGATCCAAGAAGGACTATGCTTTCAAGCCTTTGGCTTTTTGTTATATTTTCTCATTCCATGCCCATTTAGTTTAGATAATCTTGATAAATCGTTATCAAATGAATTTGAAAGTGTAATTGTGGAGTTAAAGGAGCTAGATCTATTTTCAAGTTCAAAGCTGGGGTGAGTTTGTTGGATAATTATTACTAAATTTTTAAAAGTAAGGTGGAAAAAATGATTTCGTGATTGTTATCAAACAAAAAGGTTGAAAAAATTTGCCAGTTCTTCTTCTGTGTTTTTAGAACCAACTTGGTATTGGATGTCTGGTGGATTTTTTAGCTGTGTTTTATTTATTATCGTGGATTTTTTAGCTGTGTTTTATTTATTATTGTCTTACTTCAATTTTGTTTCTCTCAAGGTTAATAGTTTTGTTAAGATGTTTTTAGTGTAGTCAGAGCCTCCATTTCAACAATTGAACCTTGACTTTCTCAAAGCTGTTTTATTTCAGAACTATTACTTTCACTTTTTTCAGACAAAAAAAGCACTGCAATATTACTGAATTTTTTTTATATTATCCCTTTGGTTAAATATTGATGGATGTCTTCTGGTCTTTCTAATATATTTTTTTAAGCATCATTCATATCTTGTGCTTCTCTCATTCTCTTGTAGAATGAAGCTGTCTTGAGGGCGTGTGCTGAACCACCACCTTCAATAACTAAGGCTGATGTGGCTGGAGTTGTTGAGAAAGATGGCGTCGACACCCAAACTTAACCTGCAAAATGAGTGAGAATCATAATCTAGGATGTCTTTTGATTGCAAATTTGAAGCCAGTTTTTGTGTCTGTCTGGTATTATTTATGTTTTAGTCTCTGATTTTAGTTCATATATGTCGACACCCAAACTTAACCTGCAAAATGAGTGAGAATCATAATCAAGGATGTCTTTTGATTGCAAATTTGAAGCCAGTTTTTGTGTCTGTCTGGTATTATTTATGTTTTAGGCTCTGATTTTAGTTCATATATCACACCAATGCAAAATTGTTTCTAGATTTGTAAGATTATTTTTATCAAAGTTGGATTTTTAGTTTTTCGCACTTGAATACAAAGTTATGTTACCCTTTTGCGTGTTGTTGTCATGTGAGGTCTGGACCATGACATTATTCTTATGTTGCTTGCTTTCTTGCTTAATATTCCTTTTAGACCACTTCTAATTTCTCTTTACATTCAAAAGGAGTTGTTTGGGAGACTTGTGCAAACCTTGAGGTCTCAAATGTAGTTAAAATAAGGCAAGCTTTCCCTTTTGTTGTTTAGATGTTGGATTTAGTGTACCAGATGACAATAAAGTTTATTTGCAGAATGTAACTTGACGAAAATATTTTGAAAACGTTTTGTGACTTGCAAATGGAAACTTTTTAGGGATGATATTGATGACATTTTCCAGAATCCTTGTGACGTTCTATGGGCTCTTATTCTTTGACCCAAGACTGAACTTGTACTTGTGTGGCCACGGCCCGTGGGTTTTGATAGTCTAACTGGTGGTTCGGATGTGTTAAGTGCTAGTAATAAACATGTTATGGGAACTTAACGGCGAAAGGCTAATTAATAACTCTTAAGACTTCCCGATACTTAGGTTTTGTTTGACAATAATTTTTTAAATAACACTTGTTAAAATATTAAATACTATTTTTTCATAGTGTTTAGTAACATAATGTTTAAATTAATTTTCAGAGATTAAGGTAGCATTTTATGAAAAGTTATTCAAACAGAATTTTTATTGTTTTATAAAAAGCTGCAAACAGTTAATAGCTAAATGGTATTAAAATAGCTAATAGTTAATTTTACCGAATAAACTCTTAATATTTAAGATGAATCATAACCAAGCCAATCAAAAAACGAGTTTTCAAGAAATTATTAGTTTTTTATTCTTTTGTTTTTCCAATGAATGCTCAGAAATATTTTTTGTTTGAATAAAAAAAAGTTATTGTTATAATTGTTTCAATGTATGGAGCGGATTTATACGCGGGATGTAGGTAAATATTTTATAAACTAATAAGCCTTTTAGTTGCACTAGATGTAATAAGGTTGTGAATGCTGCTAGGCTGCTATTGCTATCAATTGGCAACTTAAGCACCCTTAGGCCCAATATATAGATTAAGAGGGTTTGCTGATATGACTGAGCAGATGAGAAAAAGCTACAAATGATTAATCTCTATGCACTAGCTAGTTGTGGCCTACCACAAATGACTATTGGCGTACTCGATTGACCAAAACAGAGCAGAGCAATTGAAAGTCAGAAATCTACACTATAAGAACTAAACCATTTTCATTTCCAAACTATGTCTTGTTTTGTTTTGTTTGTTAGAATATTTTATTGATTCGATAAATATATAGATGATTCTAAAACCTCTACTACAAGTAACCTTTGTCGGCAATTTCCTTCTTCCACCACAGCCACAGGATTCCGTTTCCTTTCTGTAAATTGACTTTTTGCTATCTCATTTCACATAATACAGATGGACAAAGTCATTTTCTTCTTTACAAAATGTCCAACCTTTATGAGCAGAATCATATCTACTTCATTTAGACTAAAGTTTATGCTCTTATAGATTTTATTTTATGATTACATTTTTTCCCATTTCAGCACCAATTTATACATAGATGTTTGGCTTACTCAGGGAAAAATCTGTTAGCTAGCTGCTACAACTGTTGCTTTCACTTTCTTTTTCTTGTGGAAGAAAAAAAAAAAAAAAAAAGAAAGAAAAAAAAAAAAAAAAGGAGTTTCCATTGTTAAAGAAAAATGAGTTTTTATAATTTAATTAAATTTCTAATAAAAAAAAAAAAAGATAGTATATATAAATAAACTCAATTGTATCATTGGGGACATCCACCAATGCACATACATGCACTTTATAGGGTACTTACTCAAAGATGGCATGCCTTGTCAAAATTTGTTGAGAAATTCAATAAAAAAAAAAAAAAAAAAGAGTTTCCATTGTTAAAGAAAAATGAGTTTTTATAATTTAATTAAATTTCTAATAAAAAAAAAAAAGATAGTATTATAAAAGAATCAATTGATCATTGGGACATCCACCAATGAATACATGCACTTATAGGTACTTACATCAAAGATGGATGCTTGTCAATAATTTTGAGAAATTCAATAATTGAAAAGACTAATACTATCATATTATAATTAGTTACATAATTCCAAAAATATATATATATATATCTTAAAATGCAGTGTTGTGAGTGTACATCACATGTGAAGTGTCTTTGACCTAACTTTTGTAGGGTCCAATCCCAAAATTCTGCAACAACAATTAGATGCTTCCTTTTGGAGATCACACGCCTGTTATAATCTAAATCTAAATCTGAATCTCAATCAAATATATATACCATTTTCTTTAAATATATATATATATATATATTCTTAAAAATTTCCACTATATCTAACCAAAGTTGATCCTTATTCTCTCTACTCTTACACGGGTTGTGATCATCCAGTCATCATTTTCTTTTTCTTCTCCATATATTCCCATGTCTCTTTCTACCATAGCTTAGCTTCATGGACTTCTGTGACATAAAGCAGGGGAAGATGTAATTAGTTTCTTAGAAATTGAGGTTGAGAACTATCTTTTGAAAGGTGATTTTTAAGATATCATTTACAAGTAATATAAAATTATTTTCATTACTATCAAATTCATATATTCAATATCATATACGGTCAGACTATCATAATTTTGTCCTCTCCTTTCAGTCCTCTCAGTAAAATGTGTTTCTCGTAAATCAAATTTGTATTCTCAATCTTGCGGAAATAGAAATTGCTTGCCTGGATCGAGATTGTGTTTTTTTTTTTAATTGCACTCACACCAACGAGACAGTCATATATTTCATTTTAGCATAGAAATGGTTAAAGAAACCATAGATGTCTGTCTCCTACAGCTTTCATTGGTTGACACAAGGAATCTTATTCTCATAACCCCATGAGAGGCTGCGATATCCAAGCACAACTCCTCTTCTTTGTGTCTTGTTCCCTTTCTCAATATAAACAAATGCCATTTTTTTAACACAAGACAACAATTAATATTAATTATATGGAATCATGTTCAACACAATTATATTGGAAAGACATGAAACAATGAGAGCATCTTTTTGTAATTTTATATTTATCTAGTTTGGTGTTAGAAAATATAAATAATTAAAAGAGATAACTAAAGTCATAATAAAGATTACACTAATGGAATTTATATATTTTCTTAAGAACTGTAGGGTAGTAATAATAATAATATTTTATTAAGTTCTTCTACTTCCAAAGGTTAACCTAATGGAAATCATGTCCGATAAACTTTCGGTGATCCTAAGTTCAATTCTTGAGGGTATCCAAGCAGTTAATCCTCGCTTGCTCCTAAGCCTATTAATACTCATAGATCACAACTCTCATATGTATTGAAGATTTTTCCGGTGTATATGAAGAGGACCCGAGGTGGAGAGCAGAAATTATGCCCTTCCGCTAATCAGATTGCAATGAGAACAGGAATCAAACCCCATGTGCATATGCTCAAGGGATCTACTTTTTCTACAAAGTAATGGATATAAATGATGTAGAATTTATTTCCTTCTTTCTTTGTATATTGTACATATATACTTTGTATCATCTTTTTGTCTCAAAAAATACCTTGGCTTTTGATGACAATAATAATAATGGATAAATAAATAATAAAAAGCTTAACTATTAAGCAAAAATGGGTGTCGATTCTTCCCCTCCCACTTTTTTTGGTATAAACCATCTGTATTCAGACCTTATTATCAAAGGCTAACTAATTCAGCTCGGGATTTAATCACAGTTAAAGATTTTTGTCTCTTCCTGCAGGTGTATTTAGTGAGGATTAAATCTGAAAGATCTTTTCACATGCCCAGTCTACGTTGCCAATTGAGCCACAACTTGTAGGTTGTTTTCCTCCCACTTTGTGCATGCGTGATTTATTCAAAATATACTATATATTTTCTAAACAATTTGCTTGAAAGTGCAGAGAAACAAAATATTGTAATGGAGCTCTTGAAAAGAATGAAATGGTTTCTTTTTTTTTTTTTTTTCTATTCTCATTAATTAATTTATCTGAAGAGCATATTGATCTAATACAAATTTCCCTTAGGAAAGTGTTTTAATTTAATTCTTCCTCACACAATAATGAAAATTAGAAAAGCTATTACAGGAGGAATTAGTTTCTTCCTGATCTAAACCTCCTTCATCAGTAGTGACTCCACTACAACATGGTGAACAAGGTTGACTAGGACCCACAATATCAGACCTTTCCTCCATTGTAGTTTGCAGTTTGCTTGAGCTTGAAGGTTTGGAAATGACAATCCTTTCCTTTTTAGGTCTTCTCTTTCTTTGAAATACGCGGTAAACTACCCAATCTCCTAATTTCATCTTTGACACCTAAACATATTGAAATTTTCAAAAACAAATCCATTATTCAATGTTCTTGGAAATTAATAAAATGGGCATTATTTAAAATTAATTTAATAATTCATATATTTTAAGTATTGCATACCTGTTTTGTGTTAGGAATTGTTCCTGAGCCTACAAGGCGATATTCATGCATGACCCATTGAGTTTTAGAGTCATAATAGTTATTAGAATGCTTATTTCCTTGATGGAAAATCAAAGTTGTTCTCACTCCAATAACATAGTTGCTCAAAGAAGCTATGATTTGCCTGCTTTTGCTAATAGGTTTCCAGTAACCAGAACCAGCAGCTCTCTTGCATCTATAATTTTCACTGTCACTTCCCCATTTTCTGCTAAAGAAGTACCTCTTTTCCTTCAAATCACCTACTCATATGAATAAAATAGTAATTAGCTAGTAATTCAAATTAAACAATTTAATTGCAAATTTCTCAGGACAGTAATACTGTATTAACCAGACAGAACCATGCAGATAGAATTTGACCGGACCTAATATTCAACATCTATAAATTTTAGAAAATCCATAGATAAATAGAGGATTATGAAAAAACCTGGCAAGGTCCAAGGATCAGTTTGGAAGACATCGAAGTCAGGAATAACAGAAGCAGGCAAAGGAACACCAAAGACTTTACGTCTCAAGTAATGAACAAGAAGCTCTTCATCTGTTGGATGAAACCGATACCCAATTGGCAATTTCACTGCAAAATTTGTTTTCTCCATTTTTCTCTAACAATATACTATTAAGTAATTAACTTTGAACAAACCAAGTCGAGTTACAGATATTCAACTCGTCAAGGTTGACAAGAAACTAATAATCAACAAGCCATGTTGAACTATAAATTTATGCAGCAAGCAAAAGAAAATAAAGAAAATGGAGAGATCAGAAACCTAGAAAGAAGCAAAGCAAAGGCAAAGAAAGAAGAAGACTTGTGTGTGGCCTTTGTCTTTGTAGGCTAAGGAAAGACAAAGTTTCTTTATATATATATAGAGTATAGAGAAGGATAGATGTCAGATGTGAATTGATTAAAGAAAGAAAGAAAGAAAGGGAAAGGAAAGGAAAGGATAGGAAATTCCAAAGTTGTTTCCAATTCCAATTCCAAGTGCTGACTACAAGGGATTGCTTTAATTTGACGGGTCATTTAGTTTCTCTTGCAAACAATTTACAAACGTGTATTATTAGACATCATAAACACCCAAATGAATGAATATAGAAATGTTGTAATTACAATAATAAAACCGTCTATTTATATATTTGTAAATTGGTCGTTCGTGCTTTCGGTCAAGACGCACGCGCTTCTTTTACTGTGTTTGAGCCCCACGTGTGCCACGCTTTTTATTAGTGCATGTGTTACTGTTGCCTTCTTTGGAATTGGAAATATGGATTTTGGAATGAAAGCAAATGTGAAGTTCTGGGTACGGAAAATATTTGCCTGTATGAGACCCGTGAAATATATTTTACATAAGATTTGTGTCGGTTTGGCTTTGAATGCTGAGAAGAGTGCAGTTGAATGGAAGATTTTATAAATGAACGAAGAATTACAACAATTGGAAGGTTTTATTAACTTCTTTTTCTACTTGCACAGTCGAAAGTTCGGAGCAAGATTATTTCAAAAAAGAATAAATTGGGTTCAACAGTTTTAGTTTTAAATTAAATTGAAATCACTAATTTGTAATTTATATATATTTATTGTTAAGATTAGAGCTAGTCAGTTCCACTACAGAATAAAAAAAAAAAAAGGTGAAATCTTGACGAAATCGCTTCAAGATCGGAATTAATAAATTTAAAATCGATATGAAATTAAGAGATTCAATTTCAATTTCAGTTGTAAGTATCACAAACTCAGACCCGTGACATTTATTTTGGAGCTTTTGAACGATAATATAGCTTCAGTTGACTTCATGAAGATGGCTTGACATAACAACACATTAAAAACCAAAATGAAAACAGAAAATGAGCATATCAATATGCATTTATGTGAAACAAAGCATTCAAATGGAAGGGCTGACAAATTTGAATGATTAAACTCACCGTTAGTAAGACATAATCAATTTTACTTAAACTCTTTTGCCTCCCACTTTGTTTCTTTTAGATTTTTTTTCTTTTTTTTTTTTTTTTTTTTTTAGGGCTGCACAACATTTGAATGAATTTAAACTCACGTTAGTAAGACAATAATCATATTTTACTGTAAACTCCTTTGCCTCCCACTTTGTTTCCTTTTAGATTTTTTTTTCTTTTTTTTTTTTTTTTTTTTTTTTTTTTTTTTTTTTTTTTTTATTTATAGCATCACTTAACTTGGGTGGTCGGATGGTAAAGTAACTTTTGTGTTTTTTATTTTTTATTTTCTTTTTTTACACTACTTTTTCCCATTTTTAATATACTAGAAAGTTAATGTTTCCTTTTTATCCGTTAATATAGGCATGAACACGGTTCGATTTTAAATCGAAATCAAATTGGTCAAAATCAGAATCAAACCATAGTCAATGGTTCAAGGTTCTAAACCGTAACTGAAATTAGAGGTTTAATATTCGGTTGCAGTTTTTTATATTTGAAAATTAAAATCAGCAGTTCCGGTTTGAAACCGTTAAAAAAAAAAAAGAAAATATCACACTTCATACTTGATTTTTAATTGTTAAATTAATTTTATTTTTCATCATTAAATGCAGTAATTTTGCCATCATCTTAAAATTTATTAATGTAAATATAACTTATCAATTATAAGTTGAAAAAGAGAAAAAAAATGCTCCTCATTTAAATATTTTTAATTTAAATCTTTTACCCTTTATAATATATATATTTTTTTACAAATAAATTAAATAATATTTATTTAAGATTTTAAATAATATTTATTTAAGATTTATTTTTGACTCTTAATTTAAGATTTATTTTTGACTCTTAAATAAAATAAAAAGATATTTTTCTCCCTTACAACTAGATAAAAACTGCAATTTGAAGGGTATTTTTTGAATAAAAAATTTATATTGTAATTTTTTTTTCTTTTAATTTAGATAAAAAGATGTTTTGCCACCTTATAATGGGAAAAAAATGGCTAATTGAAGGATATATTTTGGAATGAAAAATTCATATTATGATTTTTTTTTTTTTTGTTAATTGTTAAATAAAATTAAAGAACATCTTTATCCTTTATAACGGTAAAAAAATAAAAAATTTGAAGTTTTTTTGATGAATAAAAATTTATATGTTAACTATAAATGTTAGACTATAAATACCTTTAATAATCTTCTTTTTTTTTTTTTTTTTACAAATATCAAATCTTTTCTCTAACTCCATTGAAATTTGTCCTATCATTTTTTTTCTCCTAAATAAATTAAGTACAAGTCCCATTTTTTTGACAAATAACTCTCCAAATTTAATAATTTATAGATATTAAATACTACTAGTAAAGAATTTTAAATTTACGTTTTGTGTAGTTAAAATTTTTTAATAAATTTTAAAACTATTAATTTACTCTTTTAGTCTTTTTTTTTTTTAATTTAATACTATTATTTGTGATTAATTTTCTTATTTAGCTGATAAACTAAAAAGATAAAAAAAAGTTATCTAAATGCGGTTTCAAACTGGAACCAAACTGAAACTAGCGGTTTTAAACCCGTCTTTAAAACCGTCTAAAAGTGGTTTGGTTCCTGCTTTACCTTTTTCAAAACCAAAATCGATGGTTTTAAAACCGAAACCGACGGTTCTAGAATCATAGTCAAGCCTACATTAATAAGGCACATAATGAGTTTTTTTTTTTCCTTTTTACAAATACTTTGCTCAGACAATTTTACAAGTACTTAATTATAGCGTTCGTTTATGCAATATCTACCATAGTGTTTAAAGTTTGAAATAGTGTTTCATGAAATATTATCTTCAATGATGTTTAGCGTCTTATAATTTCTTTATATGTGAAATGCTATCTTAATTGACGTTTAGCATTTTATAATTTCTTTATAACACGTATACTTATTACTTATTTTTACCTTATTCCTCGCTTTCTTATCCTTTTTTGTTGTTTCATATTAAACAATTAATCAAATAGTTATTTGTACCGAACACTTTTATTCTAAACTGCAATATAATCAGTTAATCACTAACAGCTAACCACTAGTTAAACAACTGACATCTATTAAAATATATAACAATTACTAAAATAGTTAAAATTGTCGAACAGACTCTTAGTTGGTGAGAATTAGAGTGTTGGAAGGTAAAGAAAAGACTTTACCCTTTAAATATTTAATTTTTGGTAAATTTTGCTTTTATTTCTTTGATATAAAGCATATGCTGTTTTTGAATTATAATAATCCAATAGATAATTTCAATTGAGAACAACAAAGGTTTGAACCCTCAAACGTGTCTTGTGGTTTACGCATTGATTTTTTTTTTTTTTTTTGAAAATTAAGTCACTATTTAACGACTTATCAACTCCTCATATTCTGACTTTTGTTAGATTAATAAGTTCAAATGTGACTATAGCAGCTCCATTATATTAATCTTGACCAAAACAAAATTCCAACTGTATAATTATTATTTTTTACAGATCAGTCACATCAGTAAATTTCCATTTAAGTTTACCAGAAATTACATTGGTGGTAAAATTATAAAAACTTTTAAAAGCTGCTGCATGAAATTGTGAAACTTTAGAGCTAAGTTTATTAAGTAATTAATACTTTTTTAGTCTCTTTTTAATTGTATTTTTTCTAGGGTGTTTTTTGTTTTTTTAGATCTTCAAGTATAGTAATTTTCTATTTGAAACCCAAATAGCGTGATTTGTCCTTCCATTAATATTTTGGGATTTGAATTCTTTTGCAAGTAAAAAGGTTAATTTATTTTATTAATATATCAAGAAAATCTTAAATTATCCGGACAACTTAATGAAAAAGGGTGAATGCGAATTAATAAGCTTGATTCTTTATTATTTTCTTTGGTCAAAGTGGATTTTCAGCATATAAACAGAGAATGCAATCAATTTGCAGATTATTTAGCTAAAAAGGGTGTTGATGCCGTGGAACCTTTTATGGCATGGGGTTAAGTTTATAGCTTTAGTTGTAACGTCCCATTTTTCTATGTCTGACATAGTAAGTTGTGACATCCTACTGAATCGAGTCGTTGCTTAGAGTCGAGTCAAGCTGACCCAAAACCCGGTTCGAGCTATTAGAGTCCAGAGTGGGGTAGAATGGGAGGTAATTGAAATAAGGAAAAGAAGTGAACTTACTTGAAGGAAGTAAAAAGATCAAAGTATAAGGATTAGGACTTACTTGCACTAAAAGATAAAGCTTAGGTATTAAGTTGTAACATATTGACACTTTAGAAGTCCAGAGTGGGGTAGATAGGGAGTGTAATTGTAAATAAAGGAAAAGAATTACTTTAACTTGAGAAGTAAAAAGAATCCAAAGTATAAGGAATTAGGACTTTACTTGCACTAAAGAGAATAAAGCTTAGTAATAAGTTGTAACTAAGATTGACATCTTGAGTACCGCATTTAGGGTAACATTTTACATACAAAATCATGATAATTTTCTTGGAGTCTACACCGTGGACTTCCATTTCAAACTTTCCATTTTATCAATCTTTATGCTCTTCAGAGTCTCCCTCATCATCTTTCATCTCCTCTTTTAACCTTAACTTCACCTTCCTCCATCAATTTTCATGGGATTCAAGCATTACATTCAACTTCTATTCTATCCAAGTAAGTAAACCTTCTTGAATTTCATACTTGAATCATTTGGTGATATTTTAATTGGGAGTGTTTTGTATTCATATTTAGCATGCAGGATAATATCAGCATGACAAAACATAGGTTCAAACAGATTGTAGCGTCTCGGCTCAGTTCATTCGGGTTAATGGGTGGACCGGGAAGGGATGTTACATATATATTGCTAATCGATCTCAACTTTATTAACACGGAACAATACGATTTATTTAATTTTCATTTTCTCCGATGAAGGGATCCATCAATAAATGGTTCAAATTCTGATGGATTTGTCTTCTCCTCATGAAAATAGGTAATGGGAAGGAAAAGATGAAATTATATATAGAGAAAAGAGAACCAAAAGCATGGTTAATGACAGCTATCTTCGTAAGTATACGAATCGTCACAAGTAATATATGATGAGTAAAGTATCGTTCCCACAAGGATTGTGTGCCAAGTACTAAAATTTTGTTATCTTGTTATTATTTAGACTATAAATGAGAGATTTGATTCACGAATATAAATTTAATAAATTTATAAACAAAAATCAAGTAAGCAAAATTTGATTAAAAGGAATCAAGGAATTGAAACTACTAGGGGTTTTGATTTCACTTAATTCTATCCAATTTATTTCATTAGTTTATTAATCAATTTAATTCGAATCTCAGCCTGTTACGCTACTGACCCTCAATGTGTGCTTCCTCCGCGCCGCCGACTTATTGTATGAGCGCTGAGCGCGCGCCAATGGTGTTTTGATGCCTCATTATTGGATCAATGTTCTTAATGCAATTGTATTGCCTTTGCTCAAGCTTGTATGCGCTCTCAATCCATTTTAAAACAAAAAGACAAGCAGAAACATGCTATACAATCACAAATGCAAGCATGCAAATAATGTGAAAACTAACAATGAGAAATCGATGTAAATTTAACATGACACAAGTTTGCCCGCTTGGCAGAAGGCTATCGCATTACAGGAAGCGAGATATGGTTTGAGGAATATGAAAAGTAGTTAATATGTCTTTGTTTTATATATTGACATAACCAATAATGATGCTCAATTGAGGTTAAGGTAGAAAACCAAGCTTATGATAAGCGCTAAATGGTCGTGACATAGGATATGCAGATCGTGCGCCCCAATACAGTTTGGTACTAACCGGCTACAGGCCATTTGAGTGGATAATGATATATAATGGCCATATCAGCCCAGTCTACAAATCATCCAGTTTCATACAAGTTCTTTCTTATCACTTAGTGGTTTCACTATAACCTTTATGAGAGCTATACAGGTATGAATATTGAACTACAAATTGCCGATAATCAGATATGCGAACAAGGTATGGAATAGAGCAAAACAAGTACTGATACAATGAGAGTATCCAAGATAAAATTGCAGTAGCTATCATTCCATATGATTGATTACATATTTTTAGATACATAGTGTAATTGTGACATACTTGTCATTCTTTATTCATGCAGCTACTTCACAATGAAGTTCTGAATAAAAGTATAGCAAGAATCAATTAACACAGCATAAGGAACATCAAGGTAGCGTATCATCTATGAAGATAAAAAGATGTTATTGTGCTTACTAAGTCATCATATCTTTATTTTAGTGTCATTATGGAACGCAAACATGACAGCATTAATGCAAAGCTTGTTAACATGATTTACACCTCTATATGAGTGACTAAAAAGTAGCAATAATACCAGCCAGTATAATAACAAGCAAGTAAGAACGAAAGACAATATAATTATGTGGGTCACTACATGTTCTTATTATTTACATAAATTCAATATTCAGCATAAATGAATAGCAAGGTATAGAATCATAGAAGTAGTCATGATACGTGTGAATAAAGGTTACAATGAAAGGGAGATTATATGATGAAGATAATTAGTAACTCAATTAGTTATGTGTAAGCAATTAAAAGTTTTATGTCTTTTGCTATAAAAGATACATTTATGATTGAATTTTTGCATTTAAGATCTATCATCGCTTTATGAACTTTGTATTCTAAGTAGTTGCCATCGCAACTTGTGTAACATAATAGTGAATTATAGAGCACCCACGAGTTTTATACTCAACGCGTCAGATTTGATGTATTCACCTGCGTATAGGATTGAAAATTCATGGTAGTGCAACTTTGAAAGACTAGAGTACTACAAGCAGAAGTGAACCTATTTGGGAGAGTAGAGTTGGAGTATATAAACGAAATTGGCATGTAATCAATGATACTATGCTACCATTATGTTCGATACAGTTATGTCATGGAAAATATAAGTGAACATGTAATATTATTTTTCGGCTACAGTGAAGCATAGTCCTGGAGATAAGAATCAATACTTATCCAATGAAATTGAATATGACAAATCAATGATTTACATAAAAGGATCTGGCGTAGAGAAATATTAGATATTCTAGCAATGAAGACTTCGATGATATTCTAATAATGAAAATGCAATATAATTCGACTCGGAATCTATAATGCTAAATAGTCGAGGATTATATACATCTAGTATTTAGACAGCAAAGATCTTACGCAACGAATTTAACACATCTAAATATAATGAATGCAATTAATTGCTGGATCTTAAATGCTATTGAGGATTTATACAGTTATGAAAATATATATAAAGTGTTATTGTGTTATGATGATTAGTTGGAGATATTGAAATTTTGGAGTATGAATTGGGAGTGTTTTGTTTTTTCTTATTTAGCATACAGGATGATATCAGCATGACAGAACATAAGTTCAACCAGATTGTAGCGTCTCGGCTCGATTCATTCGGGTTAGCGGGTGGACCGGAAAGGGATGTTACATTAGTGCTCTTCCGGTCAGATGTTGATCTAATTGTTGTTATTCTTATCTTAAGAAGAAACAATATGATTTATGTTTTTGATCTATTATTGTATATTTCTTCCAGATTTTTTCACTTGATTTTTTCAAGCTAGGTTTGGGTGTATTAAAAAACTTATTGGCTTGGATTAGTTAACTGAATAAGTTAAATTTTTTTGCTGACATATTAATACAATAAATTAAATTTGCTGATAAAAAAAAAAAAGAATAATTTCTTCTATTAAAATCATTGCATAACAGTTTAAAATCTTTTGCGAGTGACAAAAATTTGTTTCTTGTGTTAAAATCATCACAAAATAGAAGCCTTCAATTGTTTACTTTTGAATTTATTTTTAAAGAGAATATTATGTTCTACTTATATTATAATATTTATCATTAAATTACAATTTTATTAAAAAAATCTTAAATAAATTCCCTTTTTTTTTGTGTAGACCTCTTCAAAGAAAAAAAGAAGTACACTGCCAGGACCAAATTGACACATTTTTTGTGTTTTTCAATTTATTACTCTTTAATTGGCTGACTTACGCCTGAATTTCAAAAGTGGAGTTTCGCCCAAAGAGCTAAAATATGGTCATAGTCATATATAATATCAATGATAATTACATTACTCTTTTTAAAATTTTAAAAAAAAAAATCTCAACACAATAATAATTCGGCACAAACTTTTTACCAATAACCGCAGTAATTAATTTTAATTATTGGCCTAGCTAATTAATTACCTAAATTTATATTATTTCAAAAAATCTTTTTTTTTTACAACAATATGCTTTTTTTTTTTTTTTTTTTACAAGCAATAATGCTTTTTTTTTTTTTCTTTTTTTTTTTTTTAGTATTGGGGGAAGGAGAATCAAATCCGGATCTATAGCCAGGTTATATATGTACTTATCGTTAGATTATACCTTGGTGTGCTTTAAATAACAATACGTTGTTTCATGATTTTGAAACATATGATTTTTTTAGTAATTTTAATTTGATTTATGAACAGGCAGTTGCATGAACCAAAGGGCTGCATCTACAACGATATCAAAATCCAGAATTACAATATTAGGATTTTTTATTTATATACCACAAAGATTGGAGCGTGAAGACTATGTAATGTAATTTAAAAAAAATTGATAAGCAAAACTTAACTTATAATACTTTTACTATGACAAAAAGGTTAAATCAAGTTATATATATATATATATATAGGCGTGTTTGAAGTTTGAACACATTAAAGCTAGGATTTAGGTCTCAAGGAAATGAATGTGTATATATTGTGTATATAGTATATATATATATATAATAAATAAATATAGATAGGATAGGTGAGGTCGTGGGGATGGGATATATGATTCTTTCTTTCTTTCTTTCTTTCTTTCTTTCTCTGTTTTAGAAGTTGACAAATGCAATGCATCACGAGGTGGAGATTCTTTGCATAATGGAGGGCCATGATTTTATCTATTCATTTCTGTTTACTTAATCATCTTATTTCTCTTTTCTATTCAATTAAAAGATTCTTCTAAATAATAATAATAATAAGACTGTATTTTTCTACATTAATATTTAGTTTGCTTACCTTGTTTTAGTATGAACCTCTTAAGCTAAGTTTACAAAGTTAAAAATGGAAAATATATTTATGCCTTGAGATAAATAAGCTGAGAAATTTCTTTTCTTTTTTTTTTTTTTTTTTTTTTAACTTTTTTTTTTTTTTTTTTTTTTAAAGATCATTGATTTCCCAACAAAACTGATGCAACAATAAGTGTGCCCCTTCTTTCCTTTCCCTTCCTGAAGGGGAAGAATGTATGTTTACTCCCAATCTGGGTCTGACCAGTTACAGTATGTACAGAGCCTTTTTTTTTTTTTTTTTTTTTTAAAATCATTGATTTCCAACAAAACTGATGCAACAATAAGTGTGCCCCTTTCTTCCTTTTCCTTCCCTTGAAGGGGAAGAATGTATGTTTTACTTCCCAACTGGGTGCTACAGTTACAGTATGTACAAGCCATTAAAAGGAGGAGGGGAGACTCAAAATCTGAGAAACTATAGTGTACATATTGTACTGTCAATAGTATTGTATTTTGCTCATTCCTGTATCAATTGTGGAATTAGCTTCAAAAGAAATGAAAGCTCTTTCTGTGAGAATTGAGGATTTGATTTCACCTTTCCATCCCCTTCTGCCAAACAATCCTCCTTATCATCAGATGGATTTATCATATCAGATACAGCATCAGTTATCTCCTTCACCAAATCAACTATCACTCCGTCTATACCCATCAAATGTTGCATGTAAACTGCTTCAGCCACATTACTGCAAAACAATATTAAACTGATTTTAGGAATTTAAGGTTTTAAGATTCAGATTTTGGCTCTTGAACATTTCTTTTTTAAGCATTAGGCAAGATTTGAACTTCACAATTCAATTTTATAACATTCACCATATAACTAAACCAAATTGTATCATTTATAGATTAATCATAAAAACCAACTATTTCTGTCTCTTGAACGGTTTATTGCTGGCAAATCTTGAATTAGACAATTCCAAAAATGAGAAACTTCATATATAAGTAAAAAGATAAAGAATCTTACTTCAATTTTCCATAGGTTAGAAGTGAAAGCTTGGCTTCTTTGATTTTTGAGACAGCCGCAGGATTTCTAAAAACTCCTTTGACCTCTGATACAATACCATGCAAACCACCTTCTATGCACACCTTTATAGCCTCCTCTAGAGAGTTCCTCCTCACATCATAAAAAGTTTCAGTTCCACCATTTGTCAAAAAGAAAACCTGTAAAACCACCATACAAAAGGAAAGCAAGAAACCAACACTAAATATCATTTTAAACGATGTTGGAAATGCAATTGGGAATGCTGTTTAGCATCTATGAAACTTTTACAACTAAAATGTGCATCATTCGCCTTGAAAACTAACTTTAGTAACCTATGAACAACATTTCAATATTGTTCTTTTTTCAACAACAGTTCAAATAAAAATGCTAGCAAACCCAGTATAGTAGAAGAACATCAAAAGGTTAGGGATGACTTACAGGGTAGGTGCCCTGCAGTTTTCTAACAATAACTGCAGCGTCAGGTTGGAAGGATGAGAAGATAATGGGTCTATCCCGAGCATATTCAGACACCACCTGGACCACATAAATAACAAGAAACCGGTAAGAATAAACTCCAAACAAGCTGGACCAAGTAAAGAGTTGATAAAAAGTGCAAGTTATTAATATACCTGCAAGATGGCTTGAAGGACATGGATTAGATAGTCTTGTTGGTAGACAATGTGATCATCAAATTTTAATTCAATGTTAAATCCCAAAGAAGGCTCCACTCGTTGAAATGCATCTTGCAAAGTGCAAAGAGAGTCATCTTTTTCCACATTCCAATTAACAATTTTCCCATCTTTTGTTTTTCTTAGCAGAGATTTTCCCAACTTCCCTTCTTCTTTTTGGGGACCATAGCAGAGAAATTCAGATAGGCATAGCTCTGTCATTCTCTTCTCAAAAATGGTACCCTGAAAATAAATCACAATTACATGTCAAGATTAGCTCGAAAAATTTTTTTAAAAATAATATCTAAGTGTTATTTAAAGGAAAAGAAAATAAAAGGAGCGGAGCAACTTACGTTTTCTTCAGAGAGGATGAAGTTGTCATGGAAAATGACTGGGCAGCCATCTTTGGTCACCTACAAAAACGACACTCGTTTTTCACTCTTTCTTTTCTTTGTCCCATTCAGCTCCATACTTTATTTTCAAAGCTATTTCTATTTTCTTAAAAAATCCCCAAAAATCCCCAACCAAAATAAGCTCCATCAGTTCAATATTCTCCCATAAACCAAAATATTCTGAAACACAGAACACAAAAAATTGCATACTTTTTCTTTTTATTTTAAATTCACAATCTTTCATTAGATCCCTATAATTATTCCTAATTAGGCTCCAGATTTCATTTTAAAACGGCAGCGTTTTACCTCAGAATTGGAACTGTGAACTATTTTGACCGACTCAATACCAACAAATATTGACTTTTGAATTTTGAACTTTTTTTTCCCAGAAAACATACATTCTCAACAACTAGCCCTCTCAGATCTTGATTTCTCAATTAAGGACAAACAATAATCGCAAACTTTTGTAAATTTCACAACTTTCGTCTGCAGACTAAAGAAAATAAAGGGAAAATAAAAACCCCTCAACGGCCATGCGCTACCGGACAAAAAACAACCAACATACGTGGCGACCGACACCGATAAACAAACTGTAATGTACCTTTCCATTCAAAATCAGAAAACCCAATTCGATACAAATTTTAAAATATAAGAAGAGAAAGATGATTCTAACCTGAACGTCAAATTCAATGAAATCAACTGGGAATTTCGCAGCGGTGTTAAATGACATTATAGAGTTCTCTTTAACAGCTTTCATTCTTAGGTCCGTCGACGTCAACACATTCATTCCATTCCCTCTATGGCCTATTACCATAAACTTGGGTGCTTTATAGGAAACCCGATTCAGTTCCACCCCTGCAAAAGAAAAACCACCAGAAATTAACCAAACAAAATTTCAATCACGATTCCAACGACATCAACATCAATAATAATAATAATAATAATATACCTTTGGAGAAGCGGGTGGAGTAGAGAGAAAGGGAAGCATTGTCAGGGACCTGATCGAGATTTGGCACATCGGAGACATGGACAGCTTTTAGAGCCATTTTTGTTGCAGAGAGAGAAGATCGAGAAAGATATAAAATGAAATTTAGAGATTTTGATGGGTATAGAAAGGCTTTGGAGGAGAAGGGTATATATGGAGGAGGACAATGAAGATCGAAGAAAGGACAGGGAAGGAGAATGACCTAAACGGGATTGAATCTCCACGTAGAATATTCCTATCCTCCATTGTCATATGCCTTTGGATATTCCCTCTCTTTTTCTACTTTATTAATGTTTGTTTTTTGTATCTATCGTCCTCCTCAAATTTCTGGTTCCTTTTTTTTAGCCGTTACTAACGCCCGTTTCTCCAGCGTGTAGGTTCGTTTCCGTTAACAGTTATAGTTTCCTTGATTTAGACGGACTTATACGTTATACTTGTACGTTATAAAGGATGTAGGTCCCATAAATTTTGTCAATGAATAGAAGCTGAAAAAATAATTTTAATTTAGGGAAAAATAAAAAAAATGGAATCATTGTAATCATTTACGGCGTAACCTTAATTTACTCAGATTATCTATTGTTCACTTGCAACTTTAAATTTTATCACAGTTTTAATTTTTATGTCAATTTCATTTTAAACTTTAATTTTTTATTATAATTTTACTTTAATTTGACTTTTATATTAATTTTACTCTAAATTATGATATTTTGTTGCAATCACATTCTAAATTATAGTTAAAACTTAAATTGTAAATAAAATGTAGGTTCACTCTTGATTTCCGGTTTGAATTAACTTAATATATTTATGTGAGTAAAGAAATTTTGTTTAATAATAAGGATAATCTCTATTATTATTTTTAATATTTTTAAACTCTTTCTTTAATTGATATAGTAAATAATATTTAAAAATTAATTTTTTGATACATAGACTTTTTTTAAAAAAAAAATTAGAATATAATCATATCTTATATTCTATTTTGATAAAAAAATATTGCAATTTCTAATAGTTTATGAGTCAAATAAATTGATATCACCTTTGTTTTAGATTTTATAATTATTTTAAAATTTATATTAAAATCAAATCAAAATAATAATTATATTATAATTTAAAAGAAAAAAAGATTTCATGTATCAAATAATTAATTTTTAAATATTACTTATTATCAATAAAAAAATTTAGAAATATTAAAAATAATAATAGAGATTATCCTTACCGTTAACCTAAACTCCCTCATTCACACAAATGAATTAAGTTAATCAAAGCCCAAGGACAATAGTGAACCTATTTTTTATTTACAATTTAAGTTATAGTTATAATTTAGGATGCTATTATAATAAAAAGTCAAAGCTAAAGGTGAAATTGGTATAAATGTTAAATTTGAGTGAAATTACAATAAAAGATTAAAGTTCTAAGTGAAATTGGCTTAAAGGTCAAATTAGTAAAATTGCAAAATAACTTACATTGAGTGAAACAATATATTACTTACCTACCTATAATTTGTTTTACCAGAAAAATAATAAATATTTATTATTTAATCTAGACACTAATTTTAAAAAATTTATAAATCAATGAGTGATAAGATAATTAGTACAACACTCTTCATTCTTAAGCGATGTTGAAAGTTCAATCCTGAAGTAAATATTCAGTGTGAGCACTTTATCCCTTAATACGCCGATTCGGTGAAAAAACTATAAGTAGAGATTTAATAACTTGAAATTATATTTTTTAAAATACAATTATTAATCAATATAAATTGAGTATTCTTATTTTTTTATTTTTATCCATCTGATATCCGAAACCTATTAACTCATTTAATCCGGATTCGTGTCGAACAGTCTACAAAGGGGGGAAAGTGCTTCATTCCGAGTATTTAAAAGAATTTTATACCCGAGTTGAACTTGAAACCTCTAGTTAAATGAGAAGAGAACGCTGCCAATCCCATCTCACCCCTTGAAAGTTCTAATTTTTTTATTTGAAAACTCTTCTTTTTTTTTTTCCAAAAGTTATTTTTCTTTTCTTTTGATTTGATGAATTATCAAAAATCTCCTTTGTTTAGCTGTTAATGATTTTAGTTGAGAATAAAAATCCTAAAACTCCAAAATTTAAAAACTAAATAATTTATAAAAAAAAAATTGCACTTTTGACTCAACCAATAAATCATTGCTTTCAAACTTCAAGAATTAACACAGTAAATTCTCAAAGTAAAAAAGTAAAAAAAAATTGCCTAGCAGATTTAGTAAATTTGATGAACAAATAATAAGCTTGATTGACATATTTTATAAATCAACAATTATACTCCTAATAATAATTTGTTCTGATGTTAACTATAAAAATAATACCGTGCAATCTCTTTTTTTTTTTTTATACTTGGAAAGTCCAATGGGCCGGAATAAGATTATAGACTTACAATATGAGTAGTCCTGCACTTTGAATAACATTCACCAAATTGGCGATGATTTTGTGATGGAGATGACAACTTGAACTCCTCACATATTCCACAAGATGTGGAAAGACTAATCAGATTATACTTGATTAGCAACCTCTTAATTAATCACCTTTAGATAAACCCTTAATATGTATAAAAATAACAATTAAAGGGCTAAATAAAAATAAATAAATTTATATGAATTGGATAAACAAAATATGTAAAATTCAAGGGTCTATAATGCGTATTTCATAAGCTAAATATATGGTCATTCATTGCGTCAACCGCCATGCTCTTTTCATTTTCTATTTTTGACAACAAATCCGTGCAAAGAAAACGTGAGTTTGGCTTTTCTAAAACGCGTTTGGAAAGTATTAGAATTATAGTTATGAAGGTTAGAGGAATATCCAAAGGAATATTTTAGATGCCACGCAAAAAAAAAAAAAAAAAAAAGTTTGGCTTCTAAACGCCGTTGGAAAAGTATTAGAATGATATATGAAGGTTAGAGGAATATCCAAAAGGAATATTTGATGCCACGCAAAAAAAAAAAAAAAAAAAAAAAAAAAAAGTAATTTTCAAATGCAATTGGATTAATTGGATAAACGATAATTAATTACATCTTCATGCGTCTAAAATTATTCCAATTAAAACGGGTTTTATTTAAATATAAAAGTGAACATTAAGCTCAAGTCATTTGATGAGATTTGGTCTCATCAGTTGGATTCCGAGCATGAATAGAGAGAAATTGAATAAAAAGACAAAAATTTGATTTTTATTAAATTTAACCTTTTTTCCTTATTTGGTAGATATTTTTTGTGTGATTGTGTTGTCGAGTAATTTTTTTTTATTTTTTCATTTACTTATTTCAATAAAAAAGGCTGAAATAATTCAATTTGAAAATTTATTGAAAACTAAAATTTTGAACATGAAAATATTAGGCAGCAAAAAATTACAATTAAATTTTGATTATATTTAATCACAGCTTAAGATAGTGTTTAGTATTTTTTTTTTTTTTACAAAAACAGTGTTTAATATTTTGATTAGAACAAAAAATATTAAAATTATTATATAATATATTATTTCAACCTAAATTTTATATTATATTACAATTTCACTTTATTTTGAGTTTTATATCAATTGCACTCTATTTTGTTTTTCACTCTAGTTGGAGTCTTCTCCGCGACATTATCTGGGTCCATCTGGACCTCTCACGTGTGAAAAAAAAAAAAAGAATCTTTACTTTTCTTAACGTAGAGTTAACGGCTAAAACAGCTGAGATTTACCATTACACTAAATAGCTTTCTAGAATATATATCGTGAAATAGGCCCTTCACAACTTTAATTCAACGTTTAGATTAGGTAGAAACACGGCGCTTTAAATTAACGGCGTAACAAGAAAACAGTTGGATATGAGTATGCAATGAGAGGGTGCCACGCCAGCAATAACATGGACAGGATAAGATTATTGCATACGGATACGGCGAATCTAACACATGATGATGTGGACGTGTAGCCACGTTGGTCATACGTATTACGTAGTAGTAAATTATTTGATGATTTAAAAGCATTGTTCCTAAGCGTGCTTCTGAGGAACTGATAGAATCATTATATAAATTTTGTTTTTAATTTTTGGATTTTGATTTTGACATTTTAAATTTTTTTTTTTATCAAGCACGCTAGTTGGCTTATATATTTAAAATAATAGCTAGCTGTGCTTTGAAAATCAGGTGCTCATTGACATTTTCCTTCCTTAAAATAATGAAATTGAGTTGAGTGCAAGAGGATACCAGTCCTGACCTGACAACCGAATATATAATATTAGATTATGTCTTAATTTGTATCAGATAACTAATTATTTTAATATGTGATAAGTTATTATAATTCATATTCGAATTTCAATTCTTAAATAAATTGTTTATACTATATATTCCTTTTCTACTTAAATCGAAAGAATATCAAGAAATGTTAAATAAAAAAAAAAATCAATGAATTGATTGAGAAAAGAATAAAGGGCAGATAAGTAAATATGATTGATTCCATATCTATACTTTCTATAGTACATACCAGAAACAGAATTAGCTAGAGTGGGCATAGCATCCAATATATTTGGCGTTGGAATGATTATCTAGTGAACTTATGACCTAACTCAATTTAATCCATTATATCTTCAAATCTGTTGAATTGAGTTGGGTCGGATTAGAATGAGTCTGTGTGTATTCCTAGCCATAGCTTATACTATATGGTATAGCTTTCAACTTTCATTCTTCTTTTTACAAACACAAAAGAGAAGATAATATGTGAAAAGAGAGCTGCAAGCAGATGAAAGATTGAATTTATATTTGATGGTATAAAAAAGAATGAAAACATGCATTATAAATTTTATTTATTTATTTATTTCTTTTGCCTAACGAATGTTGAGATTAGTGGTTCGGTACTTTTCTCTTTTAAGTGAAGTCAAGGATTTGATTCTGTTTTAAGTGAAGTCAAAAATTTGATTCTCATGGATAAATTAAATACTCGTCGAGAGCACTTTGCCTCTTAATGAACCAATCCGGTGCGAGCAGAATTTAATTCTACCTCAATCGACTAAGGATGCCCGTGGTTAAGATAAAAAGAAAATTTGGAACTTTTTGTTGGAAAGTTGAAACCCATATATAATAAGGTAGCTATCAGGTGGTCCTCCTGAGTTCCAGGCTTCCAGGCAAGAGGATTCATTATCAGCCAGCACTATAAATATTCAGCATTAACATATAAATGCAAAAGGGATGTTATTCCTTCCTTCCTTCCAAGGCCAGAGGCACAATACACTATTTTCATTTTGTTCTTTTCTGTATTAAACAATCACCATCAAGTTT